TTTAATATATTATATGATAGCGACAAATAATAGTTATTGGGCAAATTTGACACACATGACTTTTTTGTTGTTGACAAAATGTAACAACAAGGCCAAGCGCAGTTCTGTGATATCTTGATAAATTACCAAGTTCGTTTAAAAAAGAACCCTCCATCCTCCTCCCCTCCCCCCTCCCCCCCCCCCCTCGGTCCCCAATAGTATTATAGTAGTTCACAGCGTGAACAATATAAAACTCCTTGACACAGATATCACTTAATCGTATTGACATTCCAAGATTTGTTTAATTTTGTTCCAATGTTACATTCCAACAGTCATTTTCATAATTCAAACACAAAAATATCCCTTACTCCAACTCGATCCATTTTAATACGTTATGATGGGAGCATAAATTAATTATTGAATATTGATAAATAGTTATTGGTTATTGGTTACCATGCAAAAGATTGTGAGCGATTACAGCATTTTAAATCAAAATAAATCTGCTGCTGATTGAAGTTAGGAGCTATGGTTGGGTATAAAAATGTTCAGAATTATCACATTAAGTGGGGTAGAGCATGATTTCGTGAATTCACGGTACTTGACACATCTTGAAATACTGTGATCATTGTGTTAATTTCCTGCTAGAGCTAGAGTCTCTTTAATATTTATAACACAGACTTAACTATGATATTTCTTTGCTCACACAACGACAGTATAATATGTCCTAGTTTTTACATAAATCCTTATCCGGGCGAGCTAATAGTTCACTAATGGTATTGGGACAGCTGCATAATATTGACCCCAGGCAAAGAGCTGCAACGTAGCGCCCTGGGTAAATCCATTGTATATGGACAATTTCTTGTTATACACCCCATTCATCCAGCCTTATATGGTTGAGTCATCTGAGGATCTAATCCATTTTTAGTGAGTGGGCTCATCTCAACTAATGAGTAATAGTAGTAGTAGCAAATATGCAATAGCCTGATGAAAAGTGATTTGTATTTTTGTATGCAGGTTTGGAGATTCAACATCAAGTTGAGGAAAGACTGAATTCAGATCTCTTAATGACTAACGAACAAAATTCAACATATACCTATATTATAATAACTTTTATTATATTTTTATTACAGGGGGGGGGGGGGGGGGGGGCCAAACGTCAGTACCCATAGGCCCAGGCAAAGACCTGCAACATATTCGCCCCATTCACCCAGCCTCATAATATGGCCGAGTCAACTGGGGATCTAACCCTTTTAAGTGAGTGGGGTTACCTCAACTAATGGTATTGTAGTAGTGAGCCTGTTGAAAAGTGATCTGTATGCAGGATTAGAGATGCAATGGTGTTATGCCGTTGTGGTCTCGGTGGCTCAACAGTTGTTGTTATTTTATACCTGCCGGCAGGAATCATTTTATACCGTTTAGTAAAACTCAGACTCTTTTAGAAATATGATCAATTTAAAGATGTCGTTAATGATCAATTTAAAGATTTCGTCGCGATTTTCTTTTCATACTTGAACTTTAACTTTTTGGATTTTTTGATACAGGATGCCCTTCTGGGCTTATAACATAGCCATTTTACATATTTAAGACGTGCCACTTTGTTGAAGATATACTGTTATTACTGTAACTACTCTGAATTCGTGGATTATGTCGCCAAAATTTAAATTCGATTGTTGGACCACAGTTCTAACGAGCGCTTCTCAAACACAAGGATATATCTTGTGAACTTGGCTAGTATATATGAAACATTTGACATGGAGTTGTAGAGTGAGTTATGTGCCTCGCCGGGCTTAAGAAGTGGATGTCCTTGCTGTACGGCAAGTTAAACAAGGAACTGAAACTACTAGGTTCCGTACAGACTCAACTCTGCACCCGTGTCAATATGTTCATTATATGCAAGCCTCTTGATTTATACTTTATTATCATTTTTCATCTGAGTCACTTACTTTTTAGTTGCCTTGTGCTGTATTGAGAGTAATGAACAACATGTGTTGGTCAAGAAGAGAGATTATTCTGCTCGTTGCAGCTTTAATACGGAACACTTTAGGTAAGAAAAAGAAAATATTACTACTATGACACTATTTTATGAAATATATTATATATACCGTCGGTGTCTCATCAATACTGTCGTAAAATGTGGCAGGTAGGAAATTAGGAAAGATGAATCATTTATTTAAATTATTCACGTATTTAAGAATTCACGTCTTGATCAGAATCTGCTCTTTTAGGTGTATTTTTTTGAAATCCCCAAAATTAAGGCATGAATGATGGAGAATTAGAAATATCCTTTTAAACAAACAAAACTTTCTTCAGAATGCTCAGAGGTGGTCGTAGAAGACCTCGGTTGCTGGGAGGATAAAGGAGACAACAGAGCTATACAGCCAATTGAAGGGAAACACCCTCTATTAAAAGATTCTTGGAGATCTCGACCTGATGCTTATGACAAGTGCCTCACAGCAACCTTGTCCTTTGGATACAAAGTATTTGCTTTGCAGGCTGGAGGTTGGTGTGCAAGTGCATCAGACGCCGAGGACACGTATAATAAGCATGGACGGTCCAACGGATGTGGTGCTGATGGAGAAGGTGGGTTCTTTGCAAACCAAGTATACAAGATCAAGGCTATTGGTGAGTCCAAGTCAAAATTGTTTCTATAGCTGTTTCTAATAGAGGGAGTGATATCTTTCAGCTGCTTTTGGTCCCATGAAAAAAATATTTTCCTGGTGAATCAATCATCTTTAGGAATTCAACAATTAAGTTAAGGAAAGACTGAATTCAGATCTCCTAATGATTGACGAACAAAATTCAACATATATAATATCTTTTAATATATTATATGATAGCGACAAATAATAGTTATTGGGCAAATTTGACACACATGACTTTTTTGTTGTTGACAAAATGTAACAACAAGGCCAAGCGCAGTTCTGTGATATCTTGATAAATTACCAAGTTCGACCATCTTTAGGAATTCAACAATTAAGTTAAGGAAAGACTGAATTCAGATCTCCTAATGATTGACGAACAAAATTCAACATATATAATATCTTTTAATATATTATATGATAGCGATAAATAATAGTTATTGGGCAAATTTGACACACATGACTTTTTTGTTGTTGACAAAATGTAACAACAAGGCCAAGCGCAGTTCTGTGATATCTTGATAAATTACCAAGTTCGACCATCTTTAGGAATTCAACAATTAAGTTAAGGAAAGACTGAATTCAGATCTCCTAATGATTGACGAACAAAATTCAACATATATAATATCTTTTAATATATTATATGATAGCGATAAATAATAGTTATTGGGCAAATTTGACACACATGACTTTTTTGTTGTTGACAAAATGTAACAACAAGGCCAAGCGCAGTTCTGTGATATCTTGATAAATTACCAAGTTCGACTAAAAAAAGAACCCTCCACCATTTGATACAGGGTGCCCCATAAGCCAATTTTCAAACTTCTGGGCCTATAACATTACATAGCCATTTTCCATATCTAAGACGTGCCACTTTATTGATGATATACTGTAACAACTCTGAATTCGAGGATTATGTCGCAAAAATTTTAATTCGATTGTTGGACCACATACTTTATTATATTACTTTTCAGTTTTCATCTGAGTTGCTTACTTTGTAGTTGCCTTGTGCTGTATTGAGAGTGATGCACAACATGTGTTGGTCAAGAACAGTGATTATTCTGCTCGTTGCAGCTTTAATACGGAACACTTTAGGTAAGAATCAAGAAAATATTACTTACATAACACTATTTCACGAAATACATACATATCGTCAATTTCCATCGATACTGTCGTTAAATGTGGCAGCGAGGTAAACAAAATTAAGAAGTACGAATTATTGAATCAAATTATTCACGTATTAAAAACCCCAGTTATGAAGGTATAATTAAGATGTAGAATAAAAAAATAGAAATATCCTTTTGAACAAACAAAACTCTCTTCAGAATTCTCAGAAGTTGTCGTAGAAGACCTCGGTTGCTGGAAAGATAAAGGAAACAGAGCTAAACAGCCAATTGAAAGAAAACACCCTTTCCTAGAAGATTCTTACCGATCAAGAACTGATGCGTATGACAAGTGCCTCACAGCAACATTGTCCTTTGGATACAAATTATTTGCTTTGCAGCATGGAGGTTGGTGTGCAAGTGCATCAGACGCCGAGGACACAAGATCAAGGCTATTGGTGAGACCAAGTCAAAATTGTTTCTATAGTTGTTTCTGATAGAGGGAGTGATATCTATCAGCTGCTTTTGGTCCCATGAAAAAATATTTTCCTAGCTGAAATAATTGCTGGTCAAATGCAATACAAAGGTCAGCGCTTATTTTCAGCGGGTGCGGTTAAAAATCGCTTGTGTAATACAATTACACGTATGCACTGACCTTTGAGCGGCAATTATTTCATCTAGGAACAACATGGTAAGTACAACGGTTACTACCAATTAAAGCAAGCTTCAATTCGTATCATTCATATTGTTCCTATCTTCCGACCTAGACCTTCTAAAAAATTATTTTAATAGTCTGCTGGATCTGCTATAGAGTGGGTCTGCTATCACAGGAAAAGTTTTAGCTAGATAATATCCAATGTAATTTCATCAGCGTATTGTTTCAGATTGTTCTAAACTTCCTGAAGACTGGACTGGAGTGTTTACAAATACAGAGTTCCCGGTAGATAATGGAGCAACTATAACTGTATCCTGCCAGAAAGGCTATGCAAACATAGGAAGTAGTGTGGTAACTTGTAACACAGATTTGAAAGAAAACAGTTGTATAGAATACGAGTTAAAACCAAGCTGTTTACGATCAGGTAAATAAAAGGATTATATTTATGAGTTATTAATACAGCTGATGTTCCAATGATGGGGACACGTTGAGAACATCAGCTGTATACAATTGCTATTATTATATTTCATCCACACCAATAATATGTCTGGCCTGCCAACTCTAATTATTCAAAATAAGAACATCAGATTGAAAACTACAAGTAGAAACAGGAAGTATAATGACCTGGAGAACTGTAGATGTTCCGATAATGGGGACTAGTTGCGAGAGTGCCTGGTACTTTCCGTGTACCGTCCAGGAGAGAGCCAGCAAACCTTTAACCTGGCGAGTACAGACTTCGTTAACATCATTCGTTAAATATTCAACCAAATACCATTATTGTAAAACTGATCTGTGCAAATGATTTTAAACTAGATACGTTGGAAAGAAATTGTTAATAATATTGTTAAAAATAGCTTTATAATAGCTTCACAAAAACCTGGTTTCTTAGGAAATTTCCTGAGGTTTGTTCTCCAGACAACATAGTAGTAACCTGTATGAGGTTACTATGAATCTCACCAACTATTCTACGTACTGATTCCAGCTTGTTGCTCCAGTGTACCTGAAAAGAGCATCAACTTTTATAAGCAGGAAATCTAACAATAAACCTAACTTAAAATTACAAACTTTAAATAATCTAGTACTATCCAGGGATTCAATTTAATCTATTTACAGTAGCCCAGTCCCCAAATTAACCTGAACTAGAGCCAGAAGTCGGCCAGTAAGCGGACTCTCAGGGTGGAGCATCTCCTTATCAACCCCCAGAGGATCTGCTCTCTCTTCCTGGTCTGGATAGAAGTGCAGCTTTGCTTCCTCGCCCATTGCTAGCACCGTTTGTAGGAACAGATTGATCGTCTTGAATACAGATATCGTGAGCTGCTTGTCGATGTCTAGAAGTTAAAAACTGGTTAATGGTTTAGATAGTACCGATTTGGGAAGGTTGTTTTTTAAAGATAATTTCATCCGTTAAAATTAAAATTAAGAAAATGTAAGTTCAGCGAAAAGCACATCTGAGACACTTACGAAAGTGAATAGTCTAGATTAATGAAAAATTATAGTTATTCATAATAAATTGCACATACCAGTCCTTTGGGCCATGTTAATAACATGGTTCAGAACTTGTTTATAGAGGACATCCCTGTCTCCCGCGAAATCCTTTACTTTTGAAACCATCCCAGCAGACAGAGAAAACCTGGCAAATACAGAAATTATTAATTAAGAGAGCATCTATTATTTTCACATCAAGGTGTTAGTTACCTGCATAATTTATTACGTATTTTAAATAATCCACATATCCACGCATCTTTTACAATATAGTGTAATATGTTCACGATTTGTATTTAATCATAGTTGAACAAAAATTATATTACCTGTAGGAATCAAGGTCAATGTCAGCAGATTCGATAAGGGTGTACGACTGACTGAGCAGTTCAGTGTATGACTGCTGATGTGATTTTGTAGAGATTGTTTTAAGTGTCAAACAGATCAAGCCCAATACCTGAAATTTAAGAATGTTTAAATTTGTTAATATTATTGATATTGTGTGATTAGGTAATGCCTATAAGTTCGTCTCAAGTTTATTTTCAACCAAGGAAAACTGAGAAGTTATATTAGAAAAACAATTCAAATGTTCAATGTGTTATTATACCTGCCTGCAATCTCTATTGAAAGATTTGTTGGAAGCAAAAGCTATGACGGAAGCAAATGTTTTGTCGTTCACTACATCTCGTCTGTCCCTGACATCGTGATATTTTTCAACTGCTCCAATGTAAGCATTGAAGGCTCGGCATCCAAATATAAACTTATTATCTTCAATAACTGAGAGGTCCTGTTCACTTCTGAAGTAGGCTTCCCAGTGTGACTTCAAAATGTTAAGTTCTAAATGCTTCACACATTCACAGCAGTGGAGAAGCATAAACATCAAACTTTCAGAGGTTACCAACTTCCTTTCCATCAAACAGAGATTGAAGTCTACAGGGTAAGACAGTGCAAGGGCTAAGATCAGTTTAGATGCTATTTGCCGTAACTGTTTGTATTCTATGACACTGATGGCAACTGATGTTATGAATTCATATGGCTGATATTGCAGAGAGCAGTATGACGTTTTACCGATAATACTACGGAAAATTGCAATTAGCTTGTTAATGTCCGGAGATTTGCCAGCAAGAGCATCCCTCAGCTTTGATATAAGTTCATCATCTGATTCTGAAGCTGAAATGAAATATTTTTGTTTGAATGGCACCACTTTTAGGATAGGGATAGAAAATCAATCCATTACTTAAAATCAAAACTTTCTTGTCATCAAATTGTTTAAGGGTAAAGTTAGTGAAACTCACAACTTTAATTGCAGAAAACGGATAATAAATTAGTAAGAGTAAATCAATAAGTAAGAGTGAATTCATGAATAAGAACAAAAATTGTAAGTCTTACCAAGAAGAGATGACTTTAGAGTAGGACATTTAGAGAGCAGACTATTTTTGTTATCTTTAGATTGTTTCAGCTTCTTTCTGGACATTTCTGGGAAAGATTTAGTTACTACAGCTACAGGGTAGCCCAACAACTAGCACCCAAACGTTTGTGCTTATAACATATCAAGCATTAGATTGTAAATCTTGCCAGAAAAGTTTATTAGTGATCATCATGTGATAAGACACCCATATTGATCTTCCAGTATGATACCCAATCACCCAATCCCAATCTTATTAGCTCGGTCATCTGAGTGGCTAGAGCTCCCACAAGTACAGGACTAGTGCTATTTTAACACACAATGCACTACAATTGACTGTATGGTGTATAGATATAGATCTATATAACTGATCAACAGAAAAAACGCTAGAAACAGCTGTGATGGTTTAGCTTTTAATCTAAGGTTTAGTTCTCTCTAAGATTTAACCTTAGATTTAGTTCTATCTAAGGTTTAACCTTCTGCAATAAAACTGTCAATGCATCAGCTTATACATAAGGTCAAGTTCGGAGACAACCTGTACATTTTTTACTTTTTTAGAAGTGTGTGGTGGAGCCAGCTCAACACAGACTGAAACTCCTTGATTATATGGCTGACAAGACATTTTTCAGGACTTTCTCTGAGTAAAAAAAATAAATTAAAAGGTTGAACGGTTGAGCAGATACAGGTGGTATTAAACAAACCCTTAAAAGGTGGAGATTTAAGGTGGAGACTGGCTCTGGTTGAAGAAACTTTTGATTAAGGTGGAAAAGGTTATTGGTAACACAAACTACATCAAATTTGCAATCTGACAATTTTATCAATATTTTATTTAAGTGCTCAACCGAGGTGGAGAAATTAAATGCACTTTTCAAAGCTGCTCAACCAGGGGTGGAGAAAGGTTTAGAGAGTTCTAGGTTAGCTAGAAAAAAACATTTTGTTTTTTCCATTGACGCTCAACAGGGTGGAGATCTTTCATTAAGAAACAGTAAAATGCCTGTCAAACATGCCTAAATACATTGGTTTTATCACTAATTCTAATCTGCTCTGTTAACTGCTACTGTAGGGGATCATAAAACTGTTACCCCTTCTGTCTTAAAGCAAAGTGTTCTAGCAAATGAAAAAATTATCAAAGTTGTGAAAAGGTACTCAACAAGGTGGAGAAATTGTTGATTAAACATTAAAACATTAAAAAATGCATTAAAACTGGCCCCACCGGGTTGAGTTGAGCTTTGGCAGTTGATTTTTGGAATAAATAAGATTGGGTGACCCTTTAGCATGTATACAACTCATCAAACTAGCCATCAACCACTCAACCCAGGTGGAGAACCTTGACTTCTGAGGTCAAATTTACGCCCAAATTTGCCAAATTTGAGTCTCCACCTATGTTGAGTGTACTTTTCAGCAAGGATGCCTTGTAATATGAGTTGGTAGATGATTTAGAATCATTGGTATTGCAAATGGACTGCCACAGTCACTCTACAGCTCCTAAACTACAGAATAACAGATTTTGAATTGCATGTTAAGCTATGTTATGCTGTCTCCACCTCGGTTGAGCCGATTCTGAGGATCCTATTCTATGAAATATGATTGGTATAACCCATAATATTAAATATTAGGACTTTGGAGCAATTAAAAAGCATGAGAGGGTTAGTTCTAGTCACTTATATTAGCTCATGTAGTCAGTGAGCTGCTCCACCTGTGTTGAGCAGACAAACCTGCTCAACCGGCACTTTTTGAGTACCCACCTGTCTTACGTAACTTTAAATTGTGAAATTTGGAGTAAATATTTTTTTCATAAGTGATTTACAGCTCCTTTATTTTTGTAATTTTCAGGTGGCCACTGTCTCCACCAAGGTTGAGTTATTTAAATTTTGAACCCAGATATCATTATAGAAAGGTTTGGAGTATAATATCTGAAGAGCCTGTACCCCTTGGACTTTCAGAGGAATTATAATTAATTTTACCGTTTATGGCAGTGAAATGAGTGTAATTAGTGACTGATTTTATGTACAGGTTGTCTCCGAACTTGACCATAACAGTTTTATGTCAACCAACAACAGCTGCAAATAATTTAAAAATTTAAATTTTAAAAGAAAACAGTTTTACAGTTTTATGTCAACCAACAACAGCTACAAATAATCGTTTTTGTCCACCATTGACAACCTTACAAGGAAAGATAAATGGATTGGAGATATCTAAATATTTAAGTTAATCCCATTTACAACTACCTGCAAGTAAAAACCCAGGCCTAGGTGCCTGTTTGGCTTTCTAAAGCCCCGTTTGACCATAATTACAAGCACAGGAATAAATTTACAAGTTACTATCAACAAGAAATGCGGCCGCTTTTCTTTTCATTTGTGGATGGCCGCTCAATTTCCCGATCCGTGATGGCGTATTTTATCATGTATAATTCCATACAACCTGGGGACCCCAGGTGTTACTGTTAATAAGCATGCAGATATGGGAGTGACAGGCTGAGTGCCGTCCAGTTAATTTCATATTGAATTTGAAAATTGTGTATATTTATATGTAACCATATGTTGCAGTTTATTGTTTATGCAACCTGACACGGACCTGTGCATAATAGTAATACTAACAATAATTTAATTCAGAAATCACGCAATATAACGTTGAGCAGATATATTAGGAACGTGGGCAAACATCTCAACAATTTTAGATCTACAACAGAATTGTCTATTATTGTTTCATGTCAACCAACAATGTCAACAACAACTGCAAGCTATTTCAAAGTTTGGTTATCGTACATACATTGCAAGGAAAAACGAGACAGTGTCACCAAGTCACCAAGTCTAGGGAGTAGCTATTGGATCCATTGGATCAATGCGAAATTACGCATCTGTGTAATTTCTACTCGGTCAGCTTAGCCAAATGATAGGAAACTTAATTGAGGTTTTAATGAGAGAAAGGCCTGCCAAAAGATCAAAAATATGTTTAGGATACCCCTTCAGTACATTTACATAAACATTGTAGTGCACTATAAACAATAAACACAGTACGAAGCAAATCAGGCTTCATGATTTTAGTAAAAACTGCAAAAAAATCTTTTCATACCGTCTGCAACGAAGCCAAAAGCTAAACATTATATCTTTCATTAAAGAACACAAAATAAGTACAACAACATTTGCAGTTTCTCGATCATTGGGCCGGGCAATCCGGGTAATGCCGCAAATATGTCGCGCACATCGGCGTAATTCCGAGGTCAAACATTTTGCAAAGAAAAATTTTTTACTAGCGCTCGATGTAATTGTGGAACACAACAAGAAAATTGAGAATAATCTTGTGCGAGGGTAGGGACCCAGATGTCGTTTCTCACCCAAATAAACTTTAAGGAGGCTTCTCATCAGTAGCCGCACCTCCTTACTCGGTTTCTGAACTGGAATTCTATGGGCTTCCAGACGGCCAGACCGAGTATTACCACCCCATCCTTCTAGAGTTCATCACAAGTAGCACCCACCTTGAAGATCTTTGACACCCAGACACACCCCATTGGCGAACAAACTTTGGATATAATCTTACATGCTCCCGAAGGAATCCCTGGTTTATGGTCTTTCTCATCGTCACCAGCACTTTCACTAGAGTCACCAGCCCTTTCACTGGAGTCATCAGCCCAATCACTGAAGTATACAGAAGTATAGTTGTGGAACACAACAAGAAAATTGAGAATAATCTTGTGCGAGGGTAGGACTTATTGGACTTATTAATTAACGGCTGGTGGTGGTGTCATCGTTTGTCGTACTCAAAACGTTTCGCGGTTGCTGGTTGCGAATGCCGGCCCATCGAGGAAAATCTTTTTACTTTGTATTTTAACCATTATAAAGTATGATTAGTCGGATATAGTACTGAGTTCAAACAGTCCCCGAAACGAAAAAGCAAACATTTGATTTTTGTTTCGGCGACTGAATTGTTGATGGGCCGGCAAATATTTGTTGTCGAGTAGTGTTGAATACTCATATTAACATGATTATTGATTTAATTTAGGAATTGTATATAACTATCTTTGACCAAGTTTAATTGTTAATGAGAATACACGCCAGCACTGGGCGCGCGCGGCGGCTTTGATGTTAGCGGCTACAAGCTTGAAGCTAGGCAGCTGCAGAAAAAACGCCGCGCGCGTTCACAGTTCAGCGTACGGCTTTTCGTTTTTGATTTTACAAATGACAAAGCAACTTTTAATGACTATTAATGGAATTATCGGATATTTATAATTCAATATGTATTGATTCTTCTGTGGAAAATAAAAATTGTATTTTACTTTTAAAAAAATTGTATTTTACTTAGGGACCCAGATGTCGTTTCTAACCCAAATAAACTTTAAGGAGGCTTCTCATCAGTAGCCGCACCTTTTTACTCGGTTTCTGAACTGGAATTCTATGGGCTTCCAGACGGCCAGACCGAGTATTACCACCCCATCCTTCTAGAGTTCATCACAAGTAGCACCCACCTTGAAGATCTTTGACACCCAGACACACCCCATTGGCGAACAAACTTTGGATATAATCTTACATGCTCCCGAAGGAGAAATGGCGCGCAGTATAATGCAAATTGCAGATTTTCCCAACAAATTTTTAATTGCATGTACGTTGGTATTCATTAATTGTTCAGGGACAAAACATTTTTTAAAAGCTTTGAAGTATGATCTGTAGTATGGGTTGTAGCGCGATGCACTACTGGGTCGCGCCGCGCATCCAATAATTCTTCTCGCAAGGATTGACATCGTGAATCAAAACAATAATCATTGCTTTATTTATTTGTATATATATTAAAAGGTACGGTAATCTGGTTTTAATACATTCAACACTGCACTACTATATAACAAATAATTTGAGAATATAAGTATGACGTAGAAATGTTAACGGGTGATACTCGTAAAATGTTTGTTCCATATATATTGTTCCAGGACCGTCGACGAGTCCAACGCGGCGCGCGTCCTGGTAGGTTGTAAACCTTGTCATACGTTGTATGACCCGCCGCGCACAAAGTGCGCGGCTCCCCTGTATCATCAGGACCTAGTGAAACGACCGTGGGTGTCACAACGTGATACAATGTAAACCTACAATAGAAATGTCGATAAGTTATTCAGCTATTTATTTCCATTAGAATCTGTCTTCAGCTTCACTGAGTCTATTCAGAAACAATCAGAAATTTGAATAAAAGAACTATTAAGAGGTAGTAAAACTATCAGGTTAAGTTGAAAGGGGACTTGCCACACCTTGGCAACATTAAATATATTGGTCCTGTATTGAATCGCTTCCTCAAATTATTTATCATATAGCACCATGCCCTTAATATTCTATTTGACTCCTTGTTTTCTTGAAATTGTTGTTTTCTTGAATAAAAACCAATCCTGCTTTATGGTTGTCAAGTCGTATGCCCCCACTCCAAAACCATGAGATACCTTTCAAAAATAGAAGACAAAGCCAGCCCCCAGCATACCCTAAAGTACATTAAGTAAAACAAAATTTAAATTTTATTGCCATATTACAATGAATAATAATATCATAATAAACATAGTTAAACTTGACCATTAATTTGTCCGTCCATTCAAAAGCATCAAATATATAGGTTGCTGGGGTGAAAGCGGGCGCCACCCACTTTGTTTTGAAGAATCTATTGCAAACTTGCAATAGATTACTATAGTCGCCTTGAAAGCACTGAAAAAGAACTACTTTGTGTTCAATAAAACAATAAGTTTTCCTTGGTATACCAGCATCTCAAAGCTTCTCACCAAATACAACTTCCCCCACTCATCTTCCTCAAAATCTAAGCTCTACACCCAAATCAGTCATAATATGAGGGAAGAATTCGTGAATACCTGGAAATCTGCCAAGGCCTCCTCGTCAAAACTAGAATTCTTTAGTTTAATTAAACATGATTTCGAACCAGAGGCATATCTAAAGTAAAGTAAAGTAAAGTAAAAAATATGACATAACATCATCACTAATGTCTACAAAGTATCATCACACTACATGGAAAAATATGCAGTAACTATTTCTCCATCAAATTTAAAGGTAATAATTTATCAAATATTAGTCATGAAAAACAACAACATTAAAAAATATAATTTATTCATACTTCCCAGTGGAGTAAAGATTTATAAAACTTTTCTTTGCTACATAAGGATGAAACCAAAGATAATTATTGTGTTTTCCTTAATACTGAAGGGAAAGGAAGCAGTTCTAACGAGCTCTTCTCAAACACAAGGATATATCTTGTGAATTCGGCTAGTATATATGAAACATTTGTCATGGAGTTGTAGAGGGAGTTATGTGCCTCGCCGGGCTAAAGTAGTGGATGACCTTGCTGTACGGCAAGTTAAACAAGGATCTGAAACTACTAGGTTCCGTACAGACTCAACTCTGCACCCGTGTCAATATGTTCAATATATGCAAGCCTCTTGATTTATAAATCTACGAATTATCAAAATACCTGATGTTCGAAAAAGCCTGACAAGGTTTCGTATCAGCTGCCACGACCTCTACATCGAAAGGGGCACCAAGAAAAGAACATGGTGCACTTACTGCTTTTTCAGCAAAGGTCTCAAGCCTATTGAGGACGAAAGTCACGTATTAATTGACTGTTTGCTTTACTCCCCAGTTAGGGAAAAATTCAACTTCCATCCCCAAAACATCACTGACCTAGCCGGTCTGCTCTCCAACAAAACTCTAGAGATCCTACCAAATTTACTGCAACAGCAAGAGCAATCCATTCAATTCTCTCTGTGAACAAACAATACACAGCCTATTATAAGAGCCCAGATTTCCACTCAAATACTGGCAAGTACATAATGCTATATAGTCCCCTAAAATAAAATTGGACCATACAAACTCGATTTGTAAATTATTAGGATTGTGTAACTTAAATTATTTCAGAATTACAACTATTGTGTATTTAATAAAGTAATTATAACTTTTGCATCCTTGTATCCTTGTATCCTAGCAATTAGTAATGTTAAAAGGATTTTTCTTATATTTTATACAGGGTGGGCCAAAAGTCAGTACCCATACGCTGGCCTTTATAGCTCAGTCACTGAGTGCCCAATTTAAATACTTCCTTCTGGTATGACTTAGTACCACCACTGGTTCAAGGAATTTGTCAAAATATTCGCGTTCATTTTTTTTTTGAATGGAAGTTCATTTTCACATTTATTTGATAGTTTGGATAGTCGGATCAAGCTAAATGTTATTGAATTGTGTTTGGCTATTCGAATTACGTTTGTCCTGAAAGAATTAGAACTGTAGCTTCTCAGATGACCGAGATATGAAGCATAGCAAGTTTATTCATTACGTGTGATCAGGTGATTGGTTTACCTAATCACATGATAAGGTGACCCCGTTAACTACCCCGTTAAACATTATGGGAATTGTTAAGGGTGCCCAATTAAGGTGTCGTGTCATGGTGTCACATAATCACCCAGTCAATTTTGTTAACGAGATACAGAAAATGCTTGATAACTTCGTCATTTCTAATCCGTTTTGCCTCATCAGAATAAAACTAATATTCAGAATAAAACAAATATTATGTTATAAACATAACATATAATATATAACATAATATCATGTTTTCAGATCATATTATATGCAACATTTGATAATCTACCGTCTCTGAAAAAATTAGGCATTCAGCATGTTCAGAGAAAACAATATAGGTGTTTTAATATTGAATGGGCGTGGTCTAAAATATTCGAATTTTCAAATTTTGACGACGGAATCCTCGAACCAGTAAGTACAGTATGCCATCTGCAAAGCAACAGCTCTCAAATATAAAACACGGCGGAGCTATTAAGGCCAACGTATGGGTACTGACTTTTGGCCCACCCTGAACAATATTTGACGGCCCCAACGTTAATGTGGCTCTTGCTATGTGTTGGTTCAGCCGAATTAATTATTATATAATCAAGTTTATTTTTCTCGTTAGTTGTCATCCGGCCAAACATTAAGCAACTTATATTGCAGTACCATTTATCATTTAGTATATCAAAATATGTCATTGTAATTTTGCATGGCTGAAATGTAACGCTTGATTTATATATATAATGATTAATTGAATTTTCAAATAAAATAAAAAAATAATGCAATCTGTTTTCACTCTTTTGAGTAAGTCGATCAAATAATTGATGTTTGGGACAAAGTGAGAGTCTCCACTCAGTTTTTCAAACAAATAGTTGTCGACTTTTCAAACAACTATTTCGTTGAAAAACTGAGTGGAGACTCTCACTTTGTCCCAAAACATCAATTATATATTTAATATATATTTGGGTTACAGTTAACCACGTATTTCAAGAACAACCATCAGCTCGGAATTAAGATTGTATGTAACAGTCTAAGGAACACCTATGCCCAAGTCTCAGGTCCAGGGTGTAGTCCAAGTCTTTTCCAAAAGTTGAGATTTACTTTTTTGAGTTAAAGTTTTACATAAAATCACAGGTAAACCTCAAACTTTGGCGTGCAATATCACAGCAACACTAGGTCAGATTTGGATGCGGTTTTTCCTATTAGTTCATCTCCAGTAGCTAGTCTAGGGAGTAGCTAAGGATCCATTGGATCTATGTGAAATTGCTTATCTGAGTAATGTGATCTGAAACGTGATTGAGGGTTGAATGAGGAGGGGCCCATCAAAAGATTAGGAATCCTCTTATGGTACCCCTTCAGTGCATCTACTTTGTAGTGTACTGTAAACATACTACTATAGTTCATAGACAGCATTAGAGTTATATTTTAAATTATAAGTACCCTAGCATGATTTCAAACATTTACCTGTAGCTGTATAAACGCTGTGACAGTAAACCCGACCCCTGTCAGCTAGAGTGTAGCGTAGTTGCCCCCCTCCCCCAGAATATTGGGAGATTTACTGAAAGGTCCAGGTGAAGGACCTGTCTATACCTCTTTAGTGTTTGCTGTTAATAGTGCAACTAAGAAATCTTTTACTTAGACCTTTATTATATCATAGTTCATCAATAAAAACTATAATTCGCTCACTATCACAAGAGTTGTCATTTTCGTAGTTTGCAATTGGATCTCACTGGTGGTCTTTTTATTTTTTAGACTAAGGTTTATTAAACGGTTTCTTGCCTGTAATTCCATTTGCTCTAGTTTGCAATTACAAATGCTCAATAGTAGTTAAAATTTCATGTTAACTGCTTAACTGTAGTTTTATGTTTCACTCTTTTTTTGAGAATTTCTCTGAAACAAGACTGGCAAATACTACAAATATTAAGCTATGTTAGTCTGATCAGATTTGAATTGGGCTTTTAAAATAAATTTGAAATGAAATCTCTGACCTTTGCTTTGATAGAAATTTTGTGTCATTACATTAAGATTTAATGTATGACATTATAAAATGTGTTACTTGCCTCACTTCCAAATTTGCATGGTAGTTGGTAACTCCAAGGTTGGTAACTAAGATATCAAGAACTTGATGGTCAACATTTTCTCTTCTACATGAAATCCATTACTGTGGTGATGCCACCTATGGTTGAGACGTGTGATTCTTGTGTGTCAAGATAGTTATTTTTGCAACAGAATTGTGAAGATAAAATTAAATACATGTTACACTGTGCACCAGATCACAATCTTGACAATAAGTGGCTACATTGTCGCCTCAAAAATAATTGCTTCTATAATTTTAAATAAATTGGACATACTGTTAAATTTCACAGCAATGTTACTCATCTGACTTGATGAGTTATTTAAGGTATGTGTATTACATTCCTTTTAATCATCCCATCTTTTCCATTTAACTTAACCTTAACCAGTATTCCTTTTTAGCTTAGAACTCGGAAAGTAGTGATACAAAATGGTAAGCATTCTGAAGATTATTTTGCACAATTTTAGATTGTTTTGTTTTAACAGTTTTTAGCAAGAGCTGCAGCGACATCCAGTCAGTGCTGTCTTTTTAACCTGTTGTGACTTGTCTGAAAAAAGTTTAGGTGATAAATGTTCTGTCCAAACTTATCGAAAGTTTCTGGTTAATAATTTGGTCTGAAATGCTGGATGTAATTATATTTGCATTTCATCTCTCATAAAAGTCCTGAATTTGTATTAAATAGCTCTTTTCACTAGTCCCAACCATGTTAGCACTATAAAATATTTGAAAATCAACTAATTCCTAAAACTAAATACCACTTCTTATTTGCAGGACGTTTACATCATGGTAAGGAGAAAGAAGGCTACAATCCTTACAGATGCAAAGGAATCGTCGACAGTGGCTGAACTGAAGAAAATTATCGAAGGTAAATCTCTTTTCCGTTCTTGAATCTGTTCTTGAATCTTTTCTTGCATCTTTTCTTGAATCTGTTCTTGGATCTGTTCTTGAATCTGTTTTTGAATCTGTTCTTGAATCTGTTCTTGAATCTGTTCTTGAATCTATTTGAGATTATGATAAACTGTAAACAGGATTAAGTTTACTGCACCATCTCTAACATCTTGTATTTTTAGGGCTTCTGAAATGCGGAGTTGATGACCAGCGACTGCTGTTCGATGGTCTTATTCTGGAAGATGGTAAAACTCTTTCTGACTCCGGTATTACAGCAAAAAATGCTCAAGCAATGAATCCAGCACAGTTGACTTTATCAATCAGGAATGAATCGGGTTAGTGATACCAGCAACCTATTAGTTTGGTAATAATTGATTTTATGGACAATACCCAAAAAAACACATGAAGACCTAGCCACTAACAATAGCCTAACCATATAAGTAATTGTTCAACTTCTTGAAAGAAGTCGAATAATATTATTCGTGCATACTAGTAGCTAAAACGCCTACTAGTTGCCTTCTGTTTAGAGAACTTTGAGTTACGCTTACTTATTTGAAAGTCCCACTAAAACCTTTAGTCGTAACACTGACAATATGTAACCCGCTTGTTAAAGATACATTATATGATTATATAACAACAGGTCACTAGAATACACGAATTGTCTTTTGCATGAGAATGTGATTTCTGTGTATTATCATAATAACACAATGCTGAACGGATATGTAAAATTATAACTTGTACATGATGATATTCTGATGCTTGACATCTCTTTAGACTTTGGAGATGAATTGCTTTTCTGTTACATCGCGCATCCAATCATGCAGTGCTCATTTTCTTACTCTTTATCTTAGGACCTTGAACTACTAAATTTTAAGATCATATCAACAATTTGAACCTGAACCTGATATCATACATTTAAGTCATAGAATTTCTTAATAGCGTTCCGAATTCTTGCTATATATTTTCTAGTTGCACGTCTTAGTGAAGCTACCAGACTGCTCTTGCTCTGACCTAACACTATCTTTCTTTCAGACGGAGAATTCGAGGAGGAGGCAGTTGAACCCTACTCCGTACCACCAGAATTACCAGAAGCCCTCAAACAACAAGACCCGGCATGTTGAACTGCCAAACTTTGAACAGAATATAGGCCATCCTTTGTAAATAGTAGTAATCGGGCGGTTTACTGAGTTTTGATATCACTGGTTCCGTCACATTTGCCAATTTCGAGACAGAAGGTTTTATTTTACGATATTTGCAGTTAAAACTGCCTATAATTTGAGGTGTTTATCTTTCTTCTCCATATTTTTAGTGTTACTGGTAACTCTAAAAACCTTAGAGTGCTATTGTGGCTATTGTGGTGATAATTTTTCAAGATCAACAATATTGAGTTATATATTTGTTACCATCCTTTCGATATTTATAGCTGAAATACATTTTTGTTTCACTGACTAAACCTTGAATATTAAAAAACAATATGATCCAATGATTAACTTACAGTTAATAGTTTAACTTAACAAATTTTACCTCTCGTATTTGTCTATCTAGTACAGTAAATATTTGACTATTGATGTTTTATCACGTTTCTAGGTTGGATGTAACAAAAAGATGTTTAAATGGTAGTGAGTGAGTTCTAGTCGATAACGGAGAAATACTCTTATACCAAGTAAGCACACAAAATGATATCATAATATAGCAGTCAACAACCGAAATGAAAATTTCTGATCACTAAATAGCCAAGTTCAGTTTAGGCAAAACCGAATCTATAAAGTACAGTCATATTTTTAACTGTTCTTGGCAAATCCTCGCTGGTCCCTCGATATTTCGTCCTTATATTATTTCTTGCACTGGTCTTTATATCGAAAAGCACTACAATGCTAATTATTAAATCCGAAATGATGACTTGCGACGAATCCGTGTTGTGGCAAAATCGGCAAAACGGAAACGGCGTAACTCCTATTTGTGGTAACCACTGCGCGAATATAGCGCGCATAGGAGGCGCCTCGAGGCGCGTTTTAAATTAATCGAACGTATCATATCGATTTAATTTGATCAAGCTTAGTAATCCGAGCGAATTACCGTTGTCAAGAACATGCTTGCTGAAAACAATCAAACTCAAGCCATCTTGGACCATTTCCTTCTTAGCATAAATACATTTAAACCTTGGAAATACAAATTGTATGTCTCCTGACGGGGTGCATGTCCGAGGTGGATGGTCCGAGAGGCGGTTATTTGCACTTTATTTTAACAAAAACTCCTTCCCACGCCGGGAATCGAACCCGGGTCTTGTGGGTGAAAGCCACAGATGCTAGCCCCTACACCACGTGGGAGTTATCATTCAGTGAATTATTTTATACTTATTCGATGCTATCTTTCCAGCTATTATTCTAATTTATTGCTAATATTTACAAACAATAGTGTTAATTTTATTATACCTGTAATAACAGGTATGAGTGCGGGATTCATTCATTCGATTGATGCCAACCGTGTACATGTCCTGGAGTATGAAAAGAGGGAGTTTCAGGTTAAAGTTTTACGAGTAGTTCCATTGAAACGACTCAATGATGCTGCCCTGAACAGTGGCGCAACAAATGGGCTTACTTTCCATGAGTACTTCATGAAAGAGGTAAGTGCCATTACAGTTTATGTAATGAGTTTCCTATCTTTGATCTGTGGTGCGCCTGTTTCCAATGAAGAGCCTATAAATATTAAAGCACCACAATATGAACATGATATTAAATAAGGTCAAGCCATTGCTAATATAATAATTGCTGATTTATTGGATAAAAATGATATATCTTACAAAGTTTTTAAAATGAATCGTGATGAACCTCAACAAGTACTCAAGTACCGAAGTTGAAAGGATTTAGTTTTTAATCCTAACATTGCATGGTCTAATAGATGTTGAGGTGGTTCAAACAAGAGTTCTTCACATGGGTGGACTGTAAGCCTTGTGCAGTGTGTGGTTCTCCTTCTCAGAGTGGGGAGCCGTTACAGCCTACACCTGAAGACCTTTCTGCAGGAGCCACCAGAGTTGAAAATCATCAATGTACTATTTGTGGTTAGTTGAATGGGACTTGTAGTTTAAGGGGTCGTTGATCGTTCACATATTACGTAATCAGCCGAGGGGGAGGGGGTTTTCAAATGCTTACGGTCGATTTTACCCTTTTACCTTCTAGAATAATAACAATTTGACAATATTTTTATTCAAAGTTCACTCAATTTCACTCTGATAGTGATAAAATTTATAAATTGATCGGATATCCGACTATAGTAAGTAGTTTAGAAGGTGATTGGCCAGATATTAATCATAAATTTCATTAATTTCCAGGAAAAATTCTCGAGGGCTAGGTCCTGAAAAATATTTTCGGCTAATGATGATCAGGATGACATGAACTGTTATGTGGAGGAGAAAAGTAGTTTCCAGGAAAAATTTTAAAATGTTCGGTCCGAGTCATTCTCGATTATACGTACATTGAAACTGAAAGGCAGTCTCCCCGCTTCCGATTGTTTTCAGCTTGGAAAGGCAAAACCATTAGTACAAAATTTAAGATATTTGAAAAACAAATTTTATTCAACATACAAGGGGGGACCCTTGTGCTGGAAAATTGTTGAAGGTCGAAATACGTGAAAGGGCAACAAATTCTCTTTTAGGTGTTCGAAATGATATTTAGATTCTAGATGAACATTTGATTTAAATTATTTCGTCCTTTACTAAGTCGAAAATTTGTAAAAAATTGGGTATTTTAAATTTTAAATGGTATAAAATTCTCCATTTTAGAAAAATGATTTCCAGGGAAAACATTCAAAGGAGGGGGGGGGGGTTTGATTACCGTTGATTACGGAATACGGAGGGGGAGGGTTTAAAATTGCTAAAATATTGATTACGTAATATGTGAACGACCCCATTAATGGCATGAATTTTAATTCAATTCTTTGCATTCTTATCTATCTATCTGCTGGAAAATGACTTGCAAGTAAATATATGCTCATATCTCTCTTGCAAATAAATATATGCTCATATCTCCTGGTTTATGTTCATTGTAGATATTCTACATAATATCGCTGGATAAAAGCTGGAAAAGTAACGATTATAAATTTCATTTACGTTAAAGTTCCACAGTCCACAGAGCAGACTGCTGATATTCAGGAGCGAGCCAGCGTTTCCCGCGGTACAACAGTCCCAGCAAGCTGCTGGAGACACGTGAGGGACGGTGTGGGGAGTGGGCAAACTGTTTTACAGGAATTTGCAGGGCCCTCGGTTATGATGCTAGGTTTGTGAAAACAATGTATAGTAGTATGTAGTAATGTAGTAATGTATAGTAGTAGTTATGCTCAAGTGATTTAGGAATCTTGAATGATTCGACTCTTGCAACTATCACTTTAGCATTAATCGTAGAGAAAGACAGTAAAGTCAGGATATATCAGTTTTCAAAGTCGTTGTTGTATCCGGTATTAGCAGAGCTTAATTTACAAGGCAGGACCGTATTTCTTGATCTTATCAATTATCATCCGTGTTTAAATAACAACTATAATAGTTAATACACAGGTACATATACGTGTTTAAATAACAATTATAATAGTTAATACACAGGTACACATCCGTGTTTAAATAACAACTATAATAGTTAATACACAGGTACATAATAGTTAATACACAGGTACATAATAGTTAATACACAGGTACATATCCGTGTTTAAATAACAACTATAATAGTTAATACACAGGTACATATACGACGCTACAGACCACGTGTGGACAGAGATATTCTCTCCACATCTAGACCGCTGGGTCCATGTTGACTCTTGCGAGAACGCATGGGACAGACCGCTGGTGAGTTTCATACTGGATTTAAATCACAAAGTTACACATAAACTTCATTCAGTATCACTTGAACTTTCATTCTATTGAGTTGTTTTTTAATATCGGTGGTCATAAAGATTCTTTAAATTGATCATGTTTCCAATATCTGGAGTTTTTATCCCGTTATAATACATGTATATTGTATATTTCAGATGTACGAGCAGGGATGGAAGAAACAACTGAGTTACGTCATAGCATTCTCTAAAGATGAAGTTGTGGACGTATCTTACAGGTTAGTCTAGTGACTAGTTACAGCAAGATAACTGAAAAATAAAGTACAATCAGCAAGATAACTGAAAAACAAAGTACAATCAGCAAGATAACTGAAAAGCAAAGTACAAACCGTGTCAAACTGTTGGTCACATTAACAGTAAAGTTGTCAACTGACGCTTGACAGCCGTTCTACCGATTCCCTTTGAATCCTCATTCCTCATGTACGTAGGCCTAATTCTATATTTACAGATATACGCTGAATCCGAGTGAGATAAAACCTCGTCGGGTTGAGGAGACGGCTGTTCAAAACAAAATAGCAAACTGCAACCGGTTGAACTTCAGACATTCTCCTGATAAACAACACTTCCTGACGAAAAGGCTCGCTAAGGAGATGACTGCTATGCTATTGAAACATAACCTAGGTGAGCTCTACAAGGGATTTTATAGTTGTCAATTTCTCCCGCACTTCAGGGTTCATTCATAATATAGTTTATGAAAATGTTGCGAATTTAGTAAAAACTACGTTCAGTGACAGGATCTGGAAAAGTGTACGCGGGTCGAGAGAGTGGTTCTCTGGACTGGAGACAGAGTAGAGGGGAGGGTGGCACTATGTCCCACCAGGAGGAGGGTGGAGCGGTTATAAAGTCTGGAGATGCAACACATTCCTTCTCTGTTAGATACTGTCCTGCTGCGGATAAATACCTCATATCAAGGGACGGGGGCCCTGACCAGGTCTGTTTATTAAAGAGGCTCATGCCTTCATACTCATAGCTACTTGTGAACATCATCTTGTACGTTTTCTTCTTAGAATAGTTTTAGACTTGCTCTGACCCTTATATAAATGTTATTCCAGGTGTTGGCACCATTCGATTCCTTGGTGTTCAAGAATGAAAATGTTGTCAGGAAAGCGGAATACGACTGGAACATGGTATATCTGGCTCGAGCAAACAGTAGCAAATCTTCAATAAGTAAGTGACACGATTTTAAATTTTGTTGATAATATCCGTATTCAGGGATATGAAATCTTCTCTGTTTTGCAAAAGTGGATTTAAGAAAGTCACAAGGAGTCCCCAGATAGATTTACTCCTAGGTCATCTATTTACAGCCAGGAATTTATAATATGTTATATGACCCTTAAATGTTTAGAGTGGCGAGTAGAATGCAGCAAGCCGATAAAGTCGGCCCTGATCACGATGCTCCACACCACTTACCACGAGGGCCAGGTGATCTGGTCATGTGATCTGGATGGAGAGACTTCCTCTTTTCAGCCACAATTCTCCGATATTGACTTGTCTAAGCTAGAAGGGTTCTGTACATTCTCCATTACCGCTAAAATGAGTAGTCCTGGTACTCAGGAAAACTGTTGGCAGCACACTCAACTCTTTAGAACAGATTTAGGGAGGGAGGAGACACCTTTTCAAATTGACCTTACTTTTTAGACTGAAACTGACAGTGCCCGGGTGCCCCTGGGCCTACTTAGTGAATTTTTAATGGGGTTTTCATTTTGCTTCTAGTTGCAGATGTTGCTTACTTTTTTAAACCTGAAAGACTGATTTTATAAATGAATTTTTGACTATAAGCGAATTTTCAATTATTATCCTGAGCTGGAAATGTTTACGTACTTGGTTGTTTGTTTTGATTTCAGTATTTTGTTCGAAGTTAAGATAACAGTGAACATAGTTGCTTTTATTTTACCCTGAACTGTGATGAACCTGATGCTTAGATTTTACCAATCTTCTAAATTTAATGTTACAACAATATGACAAATACCAAATACCTTCCCTTACCTATCTTTGTCCATTGCTCTTCTAAGTCCACAATTTTTTGATACCTGGAAAATATGCTGCATGGTTTCTGACGTAAAGAATGGTTGAATATCATGCATAGCACAGTGTCTGAGTGTTTACAAAAGAGTTTACTTAAAATTTGCAAATATCAGGATCTATTTAACATAGATATTATTACAGCGAACTGATGAAGTAGTTCGCTGTTTATTAGTCTCATGATTGAAATACTGATAGTTGGGTGATCTTATCGTGAGATTCGTGATTACTAGGACTAATGAGTCAATGACTGAATAAGATAATTATAGTCTATGTAATAAGCGCCATGAGTTGGCACAGAATTGTTTCTCCGATTTTGATAAATTTGGTACCAAAAGTTGTCTAACAATGTGAATAAAATAATTCCACCGCGCTTTTTACACAGACTAATTACTAATTACTAATTAATAATTACATAGACTAATTAAGACCCTGGTCATTAGTAATATAGGAAAGTTCGCGCGAGATGGACCACGTTTACGTTTTTCCCAATTTAACTTTAGAAGATTGTCACAGGAAGAACTTTTAAGATAGGCATATGATATTTCACTTGTCTGTAGTTCAACTAATTGAGTTTCGATTGATACAATTTTTTCCATTTCACCCTTCTGTAAAAAGGCAATAGTGAAAAAGTAATTTTTAGGGGTTCAATGTCTTGAGTGGATTTATTCTTAAACTTGCTAATAATTTGTTCAACTTCTTGATCTGGGGTAAGGTATTCTCTCTCTGTTCGCCCTCCTTCTATCAGTGAACTTAAACACGTAGTAATTAGAGACCACGTTGATGAAAGAGAGGTGCATGGAGAGGGTTCCCGGGATATAGGTACTCCCCAGTGGTGTGTTATCTGTATGTCCACCCTTGAAAATTACCAAAATCATTAGCACTGTTCCTGGCAAGACTGAAAGGATGAACACAGTGGTTACAATGGTAATGGTGACCAAAGACTTTGTCTTGAGTTGAGATCCTGTTCTTGTGAGGTTGTGTGTTCTGGAGCAGATGACAAGGACCCAGACGTTGGCGATCAGAGTAACCATCAGAGGTCCGACTTGGCAGAGGATCAGCAAGAGAGGTCTAATGACCTTACCTGAGGTGGAAGTGGTTCGTAACCACAGTGGTTGACAAATAAACCTAGAAACGGAGAACTCCACCCCTTGTTTTCCATTGTTGTTCCATTGTGCAGTGCCCACCACTATCAGGACCGTCCAGAGCCCAGAGGAGAGCAAGATACCTAGTTTTCTACGTTTTGAGGCGTTGGCGAGACTTCTGAGGGGGCACTGCATAACGTAGAGACGCTGGAGGGGCAGGGCTGCCATCAGGACCAGCTCCATTATGTTGGGGATAAACTGTACGTATGCTACTATCACACATATCAGCTCCCCTAGCATCCACCGCCTGCAGAACAACGTGTTTTCAGCAAATAACTCGTATTCAGTGCCTCCGTTGGTTATATGAACGAATAATTTATCTCCAATCCAAATTGGTTTGTCTGGTAAAATACTCGAAGGAAAAAAAACTGCAACACGCACCTGTATAGAGCAGTTATAAAGACAGGAATAATTCTGAAGAAAACCATGAGAAGATCGGCCAGTGCAGTGCTCCTGATGAGGGGGTCGTCCGTCTTCGTAAGGATGTGCCGTCTAGGCGCTATCCAGCGCTATCCAGCCAACGCTAGCTGACGATTGTAAATGTAGGTTTATAACCGTTCCTTTACAAATATATTATACAAATATTTTACCAAAACCCATAATCATGGGTAGAGTGGACCGCTGCCAGTGTCTCTCTTTCCCAAACAAAAGGAAATGATATTAATTTGATTGACCGTTCTCAAATGCAAAATGATACCGAGAATGAAATCGGTCGCTCGCTTTTCCCATTCAGTCACGGCTTAGAATTAGAAATTAGAAATTAGAATTAGAATTAGAATTAGAAATTAGAAAGATCATTACAAAATTACATGTGTCAGATCCCAATCAGTTAAATGAAAGTTATTCAACCAAACAATAAAAAGAACATAATATCTTAAATAAATAATTAAAAGGTTTGAAAGTGTGCACGAAATAAGGATACTAAGTCATAGCTTACTTTTAGGAAATCTTTCACAAAATAGATTATAAACAAAATTTCTGGTCTCCAAAATGTAATCCTCACGAATTGTAATAAGTTTCGATTGATTACATCAATCAGATGCTGTAAAAATCTCTTTGGGTTGCATTCGGGTCGATACCTAGTATTTCGGGGTAAGGGTGGTAGTTATTACTTATTATATTGAAGTAGCTGAAGTTTATTGAATCTTTATTGCCGAGTACAGCTGCCTTTGGGTAGTTCTTCTTAATCTATTACAATTGTAAATGAATGGGAAAAGCGAGCGACCGATTTCATTCTCGGTATCATTTTGCATTTGAGAACGGTCAATCAAATTAATATCATTTCCTTTTGTTTGGGAAAGAGAGACACTGGCAGCGGTCCACTCTACCCATGATTATGGGTTTTGGTAAAATATCATCTCCTTTTGATTATAATGTCAGGGTACTATATAAAGTCGAAATATAAACTGATATCTTCATTAATAAGGAGGAAATTTCAACGATTTCGAAATTTTTCCTTTAAAAACATTTCCTTGTGTTTAAATAAGCATATCGGTCGATCATTGACTGAATTTGCCACTTAATACTCATTCAAATTGGCATTAAATTCATATATAATGACATTAAACTGTCGCGGCAAAGCAGAATTTGTTGGAAATCACGAATGAGCAAAATTCTCACCTTTCGCACGTGCAAACTTTGAGCGAACGTTGCGTGCGCATCCAATATTGAATCGCCGTAAATTTTTGCATGTAATTGTTTTATATATAGTTTGATAAGCATGCAAAGTTTCAAACTATTTCAAGAAGCACTGTAATCACAACGGCACTCTAAAGTTGACAGAAAATGACGAAAACAGCAATTTTCAGTGATTTTAGCGATTTTCTATCAATTTGGGCGTGTCCCCACGTGTGCAACTTTTCGATTTTCAACTTTAAAACTAGCCTAATGCACAATTTATACCTATAGAAAGCAGAATTGAGCTCCACAACCCAAGGCATGGCCCAACACCAGAGAATACTAAATCGCAAAATTGACCTTTTTATAAAATAATTTCTCAAAAAAGCACAAACTTCAATGACGAATATCTTTATGAAGGAGCAAGCTAGAAAAACTTTCCGGTAGATTTTCAGAATGCTTGAACAATTATCTAAGATGAAAATTTCGTCAGATTTTGAATACAATTACTTTTTAATGGTGTAAAATCATTTTTTAAAATTATTACTTTGTCAAAAATCAAGTTTTAAAAACGGCTAACTTGATGACGTCATTAAGGGGTGTTCATGACGTCAAATAATTTTTGTATACAATGTAAACTGAAGTGTAAACAATTATTTTCAAGACCTGTGGTCGGAAATGGCTGTATCTTTTATACTTTTGAATCTATGGACAATTAAATACAGGCTACAATTGACTGGCAAAGCGTCTATCCCTGAATATCACAATGCTGGCAAGCATTACCGTCGCCCTTATATTCACAACACTATTTACCCCCTATACGATTATATCCCCTTTATTGTTTTCCAGGCATTAAGACTCATCGAAAGTAGTTCAGCAGGTACATTTTAGTTCAAAACATTCTAATTCAATGTTGAAGATGACAGGAATAAGAAATAGTTATATGGAGGTTTTTAAGAAATTTGCGCAAAATACGCGCCAGCATGTTATACGAAATTAGGTAAAAAACCCAAAATCGCCATATTCAGGTGCCTTAAAAACAATGTTAAAATTGAGTTAGAGATCTGAAAATTTGCAGGGCGTCTAGACCTTGTCCAAATCGACTGTTAAAAAAATGTCATGTTTCAGGAGTATCGGGAAGTGGGTTTTCTGGAACCCCTGTTTTACAACAGATTGTCGTGAAGATATATATGTATATATGTATATTTGACCAAAACCCATAATCATGGGTAGAGTGTACCGCTGCCAGTGTCTCTCTTTTCCAAACAAAAGGAAATGATATTAATTTGAGGAACAGTCCGCTAATGCAAATTGATACCGAGAATGAAATCGGTCGCTCGCTTTTTCAAATCAATAAGCTTTATTACAATTCGTAAGCCGTGATCGAATGGAAAAAGCGAGCGACCGATTTTATTCTCGGTATCAATTTGCATTAGCGGACTGTTCCTCAAATTAATATCATTTCCTTTTGTTTGGAAAAGAGAGACACTGGCAGCGGTACACTCTACCCATGATTATGGGTTTTGGTCAAATATCATCTCTTTTTGATTATAATGTCAGGATAATTTACACAGCTAGTCGAAACTTCATTAACAAGGAGGTAATTTCGACGATTTCGAAATTCTGCCTTTGAAAACGTTTCCTTGTGTTTAGTTAGGTATTTCTGTCGATAACCGACTGAATATGGCACTTTTTACTCATTCAAGTTGGCATTAAATTCATATATAATGCCATTTAAATATCGTGGAAAGCAGAATATATTCGAAATCACGAATGAGCAAATTTCTCACCTTTCGCACGTGCAAACTTTGAGCGGACGTCGCGTGCGCATACAATATTGAATCACCGTAAATTTTTGCATAGTGGTATTTAATATATAGTTTGATAAGCATGCAAAGTTTCAGAAGATTTCAAAAAGAACTTGGATCACAGCGGGACTCCAAAGTTGATAAAAATCGTGAAAATCAAAATTTTTAGCGATTTTAGCGATTTTAAATGAATTTGGGCGTGTCCCCACGTGTGCAACTTTTCGATTTTTAACTTTAAAACTAGCCTATAACACAATTTACACCTTTAAGAAGCAAAATTGAGCTCCACAACCCAAGGGATGGCCCAACACCAGAGAATACTAATTCACAACTTTTGTGTTTTTATAAAATTATTCTTCAAAAAAGCACTAACTTCAATAGCAAATATCTTTATGAAGGAGCAAGGTAGGAAACTATTCCGGTAGATTTTCGGAATGCTTGAACAATTATCTAAGATGAAAATGTCCTCAGATTTTGAATAAAATTACTCCTTAATAGTGTAAAATCGATTTAAAAAGTTGTCACTTTGTCAAAAGTCAAGTTTTAAAAACACTTAACTTGATGACGTCATCAAGTGATGATGATGACGTTAAATTATTTTTCAATACAATGTAAACTAAAGCTTAAACAATTATCTTTAAAACCTGTGGTTCGAAATGACTGTATCGTTTATACTTTTGAATCTACGGACACTTAAATGTAGGCTACAATTGACTGCAAAAAGCGTCTATACATACATATATATCTTCACGACAATCTGTTGTAAAACAGGGGTTCCAGAAAACCCACTTCCCGATACTCCTGAAACATGACATTTTTTTACAGTCGATTTGGACAAGGTCTAGACGCCCTGCAAAGTTTCAGATCTCTAACTCAATTTTAACATGGTTTTTAAGGCACCTGAATATGGCGATTTTGGGTTTTTTACCTAATTTCGTATAACATGCTGGCGCGTATTTTGCGCAAATTTCTTAAAAACCTCCATACAACTATTTCTTATTCCTGTCATCTTCAACATTGAATTAGAATGTTTTGAACTTAAATGTACCTGCTGAACTACTTTCGATGAGTCTTAATGCCTGGAAAACAATAAAGGGGATATAATCGTATAGGGGGTAAATAGTGTTGTGAATATAAGGGCGACGGTAATGCTTGCCAGCATTGTGATATGTAGGTATATGTAGGTATAGACGCTTTTTGCAGTCAATTGTAGCCTACATTTAAGTGTCCGTAGATTCAAAAGTATAAACGATACAGTCATCTCGAACCACAGGTTTTAAAGATAATTGTTTAAGCTTTAGTTTACATTGTATTGAAAAATAATTTAACGTCATCATCATCACTTGATGACGTCATCAAGTTAAGTGTTTTTAAAACTTGACTTTTGACAAAGTAACAACTTTTTAAATCGATTTTACACTATTAAGGAGTAATTTTATTCAAAATCTGAGGACATTTTCATCTTAGATAATTGTTCAAGCATTCCGAAAATCTACCGGAATAGTTTCCTACCTTGCTCCTTCATAAAGATATTTGCTATTGAAGTTAGTGCTTTTTTGAAGAGTAATTTTATAAAAACACAAAAGTTGTGAATTAGTATTCTCTGGTGTTGGGCCATCCCTTGGGTTGTGGAGCTCAATTTTGCTTCTTAAAAGTGTAAATTGTGTTATAGGCTAGTTTTAAAGTTAAAAATCGAAAAGTTGCACACGTGGGGACACGCCCAAATTCATTTAAAATAGCTAAAATCGCTAAAAATTTTGATTTTCACGATTTTTATCAACTTTGGAGTCCCGTTGTGATCCAAGTTCTTTTTGAACTCTTCTGAAACTTTGCATGCTTATCAAACTATATATTAAATACCACTATGCAAAAATTTACGTTGATTCAATATTGTATGCGCACGCGACGTCCGCTCAAAGTTTGCACGTGCGAAAGGTGAGAAATTTGCTCATTCGTGATTTCGAATATATTCTGCTTTCCACGATATTTAAATGGCATTATATATGAATTTAATGCCAACTTGAATGAGTAAAAAGTGCCATATTCAGTCGGTTATCGACAGAAATACCTAACTAAACACAAGGAAACGTTTTCAAAGGCAGAATTTTGAAATCGTCGAAATTACCTCCTTGTTAATGAAGTTTCGACTGGCTGTGTAAATTATCCTGACATTATATAATCAAAAAGAGATGATATTTGACCAAAACCCATAATCATGGGTAGAGTGTACCGCTGCCAGTGTCTCTCTTTTCCAAACAAAAGGAAATGATATTAATTTGAGGAACAGTCCGCTAATGCAAATTGATACCGAGAATGAAATCGGTCGCTCGCTTTTTCCATTCGATCACGGCTTACGAATTGTAATAAAGCTTATTTATTTGAAAAAGCGAGCGACCGATTTCATTCTCGGTATCAATTTGCATTAGCGGACTGTTCCTCAAATTAATATCATTTCCTTTTGTTTGGAAAAGAGAGACACTGGCAGCGGTACACTCTACCCATGATTATGGGTTTTGGTCAAATATATGTATATCTATCTATGTCACGACAATCTGTCGTAAAACAGGGGTTCTAGAAAACCCACTTCCCGATGTTCCTGAAACCTGAAACTTTTTTTGCAGTCGATTTGGTGAACGTCTAGACGCCCTGAAAAATTTCAGATCTCTAACTCGATTTTAACATGGTTTTTAAGGCACCTGAATATGGCGATTTTGGGTTTTTTACCGAATTTCGTATAACAGTGCTGGCGAGTATTTTATGCAAATTTCTTAAAAATCTCAACATAACTATTTTTTATTCCTGTCATCTTTGACATCAAATTAGAATGTTTTGAACTAAAAATAAATCTGCTGAACGACTTCCGATGAGTCTTAATGCCTGAAAAACTCCTGCCGGAGGCGGCGGCCTTCGGCCGCCGCCTCCGGCCGGAGTGCACGCTTCGCGTGCACGAAAGAGGCTTGTAACGTGTACCAAAGGGGGTATAATAGTAAAGGGGGTATAATAGTAAAGGGGGTACATAGTAAACCCACAATAAATGCACCGGTCGTGCTTGCCAGCACTGTGATATGCGCACCGAGTTGGACTTTGATTTGAAAAAATATTTCCAATTTTACGAGTATCACCCGTTAAGCTGACAAGAAATATTGCAAATATATTGCGCTGGTCTGCATGAGTCAGCGTCAGCTGACCATTAATAATATCGCTAATATTTGATTTTGGTATATTGCGCTGGCCAGCACTAACCAGCGCTAGCCGTCGATTAATATCGCAAATATTTGATTTTTATAATTTCCGCTAGCTAGCGCTGGCTTACGAGTAATATCGCAAGTATATGATTTTGATACATTGCGCTGGCTAGCGCCATCCAATTTATAATTTATAATTTATAATTTATAATTTATAATTTATAATTTATAATCTATAATTTATAATTTATAATTTATAATTTATAATTTATAATCTATAATTTATAATTTATAATTTATAATTTATAATTTATAATTTATAATTTATAATTCATAATTTATAATTCATAATTTATAATTCATAATTTATAATTCATAATTTATAATTCATAATTTATAATTCATAATTTATAATTCATAATTTATAATTCATAATTTATAATTCATAATTTATAATTTATAATTTATAATTTATAATTTATAATTTATAATTTAAAATTTTGAATTTATAATTTATAATTTCTGACTTCGTTAATACTAATTTATAGGGTCATTTAAAATTTAGACTGCGCTCAGTACTGCAATTAAATATGGTTAAATTTTGTAATGATACAATCAATTAACATTCAAACAACAAATGTCAAATATTATATCTCTAAAATCAGGATTGAAATACAAAAGCTAACATTAAAAATCTACAGGTCTAAAAAACTTCTACTGGTTCACTTTTACGTTTGATAAAAAATGTTTTAAAACTTGGGTCCAAATTTCCCACTGCTGCTCAAACAAATTGTTATATGGGATAATTGAATGTACTTGAAGTTGAAATATCAATTACTAACTATCGTGCTCTTGAGAAATACTTCCACTGCTCTGACCTCCTCTTGCTTGAATCTTTTAACCTGATATTGGAGAAGCGAAGAACATTAATAATGAATAAGTTTGACAGATGAGCTTTAAAAAATCATTGAGATGCGCGATTTCACCAATTTAAAAATTTCACAAGCAATGTATATATATAAATGTAATAATTTATATTCATCCCCGAAGCGCACGCAAATTATGATTGTGATTTTATCTATTAAAACTATTCGATTCAAATTCTATTGGTCAATTCTACTGGCCCTGATCTGCAAACATATTTGATATATATAACTTGATGATGCTGCCTGTAAATAACAATTTAAAAAACACAATTATTAATCACAAAAATATAATTATCAACTATCGAGTATACCTTTTCAGGGATGGAATTAACTTGGGACATAGCTCGAATCAAGTAGACAAAAAATGCAATGCTCCCCACCAAGGAGAGACTTAAAATCGGCGGATTTTCGAACTGGGACACATATGTGGACCTGTAGGAGGGGGATTAATTAACACTTAGTAAAAACTAAAACAATTCTGCATATCTTTTTATAAGTTTGGAAGAAAATTAGATACATGGTTACTACCTGGTTACTACCTGGTTACTACCTGGTTACTACCTGGTTACTACCTAGTTACTACTGCTTTCTTGTATTTGTATAGAGAGGTAATTTCAAAAACAAAAGGCCGACAAAACCAGAAAATCTAAAAATCATCTAGGCCACGTAATTTAGGAGATTATTCAATAATTAAGTAATTACATATAATTTCATACCTCGAGGCTGATACTCAATTTCAACCATTAAAAAGGTAATTACCTGAAAACAACTATCCACACGTTGGTAACGATAGCGAGAATATTGACCAAATCTATTATCTCCTCCCAACATCCCACACCCTCATACCTCCTTGGTACCGGCCTTCTCTGGTTAGCTGTGTATCTGCAGGGGGTAACTTGTAATCAGTTACTATATATCTGGTTACCTGGTTACTACCTGGTTACTACCTGGTTACTACCTGGTTACTACCTGGTTACTACCTGGTTATTACCTGGTTACTCAATTACTTGATTTTGTCCTGGTTAATACCTAATTAATATGTGGTTACTTGGTTACTTGGTTACTTGGTTACCCGGGTTTTACCTGTTTCAACCTTTTAACCTGGTTTCTACCTGACTATCTGCTTATTGTCTGAATACCTGGTTACTACCTGGTTACTACCTGGTTACTACCTGGTTACCTGGTAACATCCTGATGACGTGTTATAATCTCCATGGCAGCAGCTATAAGAGGACTAAGGGGGAATACGGATCCGAACATGATCACAAACCCGTACTGGGCTACTTTATCGTTCAGGTCCATCAGTGTCTGGTTCCTTTCTCCGAATCTGAAAAAAAGAGTTAGTTGGATCCGAAGAAGCGTTATGGTTGTTTTCAGTTAGAAATAGCTACTGAGATCACTAACATATTTTTGCATAAGATTTTAGTGTCTTCTCCAAATAAAAACACTAAAAGAAGTCTGAATAGAACAAAGATAAATTATCAAAAAGCAGCCTGCCGAACGAAAGGTTTAAACGTACAAATCACTGACCTGTCGCTCTCGTAAAGTCTATACTCGTTATCTAAGTTAGATATCAACTCAGGGTGCCCCATATCATCCCAAGCCGGTCTACAGTACCGATTACCCGAACAAGTAAATGCTGAAAACATCAACTTTCCCTTAATCTTACACCACCTCAAGATATCATCTTTACGGTACGCTAGAAAACTCGTTAAAGGCTTGAAGATAAGAAAAAAGCTCAACTGGATGAAAATCGTGTTTACACATTTCCCTTCCTCACAAAATTGCATGCTGAAGTGTTCCCCCGGAAGGGTAATGTAAGGTATGTTGAAAGGGAATTCTATTTTGGGAGCCAGAGTCATGAGGAGGAGGCGCATGTTGTTTGCTGTGAAGTTGTAGAAGAACACTTTCCAGGTCAGGTACCTTTCGTAGTCTGAGAGAGAGTTGTTAAATAGGTAATATTGAGATATTGGTGCAAGAATTGTTTCTTGAAAATGCTGAGAAAATGCTCAACAAACGATTTTAATTATTTAATTATTTGATCAAACATTTTGCACTAACCTGAAGGAAAAGTATGGTATTCATTATCACACAACTGTTTTGCTTTATTCGCAAATTTCCTGTTTAGGAACAGAACCACAAAAATCGTGTTCACCAGCGAAACAACAATCGTTGAAATATAAAACGCAACATTTTCAGGAACTGATAACCGTCCACTCAACAAACCCCTGAGGGCCTGCTGGACAATGAACACACAGAAATTGAAAAGAACCATCCCAACTAAGATTGCAACACCAGTTGTCATGGACCATATTCTTGATAACAACTTCCTGTTCTTTGTTAAGTCTTTAAGAGTAGAGTTCATTACAAGTTGACGTTCATTGACCAGGAAGTAGTTGAGCATACCCCATTTGAAGGAGTATATGAATTTGTATCTGGACCATCCTAGGGAGAAGCCAATCATTTGTAGTAGGAGGGATAGGATTGCGTAAAATGGGAGAAGTTCGTTATCGAAGAACCCGAATTCGAGGGTCCCGGTATCGTTTGTAAATGTGTTGTTGTTGTTGATGGAGGTAGATTTGCTACATTTTCCCCTTGAACAATATACAAATAGGTCAGCTAGTGACACGATGACCCCTGAATTAGATATATTTATATATTTGCATAATGCATAAGTATAAGAAAATTTGCTTGATGAGTTGAGAAATGATTTTTTTAAAACGAGCATCTTAAAATAAAAATAAAAATATACAGGTGACTTAAAAGATACTTTTTATAGCAGCTACAGCCAGTAGCAGTGACTAAAACTGACTTAAAATGACTTGAACTGACCTAAAGTGACTTAAAGTGACTATAAATAAACCCAACCTATAAGAGCAGGTATCGTCAACCCCCAAGAGAGCCAAGCAGCTCTCCAAGCAAAAGCAAAAGCCACCTTCTCCCCAAAATACTCCCGAAATGCTGTAACTGACTGAATCGGATATCTATGGTGTTTCTCCTTCCTATTTTCCTCAAACGATTGTCTATCTCTATCTGAGTGGGGTACGAAACTCTTTTTAACGTATCCCTTCTTTTTCAGCCACTCCAACCCCCGATAATCGTGACTGTGCTGTTCTTTGTCCCGGCTCACCTCTCCAGGTTTTACTGTTTTCAGGTCACGTGTTAGTTCAATGTCCTTGATTAAGTCGTGCACCAGAGAGCTCCGTATTCTTGAAGAGTTTTGGAACGGATCGTTGTCATAGTTAAGGAACAGTTGGTCGTATTTCTGCTGGTAAACAAATTTGATGTGGCCTCCAACTAGCTTTGGCCTGAACCAGTCTTTAACAAACTGTTTTACAATTTGTCTTCGTGATGGTTTCTTTGCGTTGGCTGGTCTGCGCCCTGTATCAATACTTGTTCTAACACAATAATCTTGATTACCATCAGTTTCTGGACCAGGTTTATGTTTCATCATATCAGCAACTTTCACCATTTTAATGGGCACTGATACCCTAGTCATCTCAGCTCTTTTAGTCAACACCTCCCGCTTATCGGCTGTTATCAGGATATATATCATTTTAGCATTCTCCCCAGAATCTACTTCAGTGTAGGACAGCCCTTTGTCGACTAGCTTTGTTTTGAATAGGTTGATGATAGTTTGGTGGTCGCTGTTGTAGGCGATAACATAATCGTAGATTGGTATAGCAGCTTCTTCGTCAATAAGATCTGTTAGTTGTGAAGTTAACATTTTTTAGTTCCACTTTATTAGTCAACTAATTGGCATGTTTGTTGTTCTGTTTGTTGTTCTGGTTTTGTTGTTTTCGTGTCCAATTACCTGGTTTGCTGATTGGTTAGATTGAACTTTTTCAAGTTCAACGAGAGTGACACAAGAATTGAAGCTTATGATAATCCTATAAATTTAATTCGATAATTGATTAATTAATTATCTATGCCAATTGTTTTGCTAGTTAAAAATATGACAAGTAGAGCAAAATACCAAACAAAAAGTCGAATGCAAAAAGGGCATGATATATAAGTTAACTGGCTTTTATCATTATGAAATTAAAAACCTGTTATGTGATACCCCATATAAAGAATCGATGAACGTGTACAGGAATACCTTACGCTTAAAGAATATTGAATTATATATTTTATCAAGCATGACCTCATCTTGGCAGAATCTTAGCAGAGTGTTAGCAGAGTGTTATCAGAGTGTTAGTATAGTGTTAGCAGAGTGTTAGCAGAGTGTTAGCAGAGTGTTAGCAGAGTGTTAGCAGAGTGTTAGTAGAGTGTTAGCAGAATCTTAGCAGAGTGTTAGTATAGTGTTAGCAGAGTGTTAGTAGAGTGTTAGTATAGTGTTAGCAGAGTGTTAGCAGAGTGTTAGCAGAGTGTTAGAAAGAGTGTTAGCAGAGTGTTAGTAGAGTGTTAGTAGAGTGTTAGCAGAATCTTAGCAGAGTGTTAGTATAGTGTTAGCAGGGTGTTAGCAGAGTGTTAGTAGAGTGTTAGCAGAGTGTTAGTAGAGTGTTAGTAGAGTGTTAGTAGAGTGTTAGCAGAGTGAATGTTAGCAGAGTGTTAGCAGAGTGTTAGCAGAATGTTAGCAGAATGTTAGTAGAGTGTTAGCAGAATGTTAGCAGAATGTTAGCAGAGTATTAGCAGAGTGTTAGCAGAATGTTAGCAGAGTGTTAGCAGAGTGTTAGCAGAATGTTAGTATAGTGTTAGTAGAGTGTTAGTAGAGTGTTAGCAGAGTGTTAGCAGACTGTTAGTATAGTGTTAGCAGAGTGTTAGCAGAGTGTTAGCAGAGTGTTAGCAGAGTGTTAGCAGAGTGTTAGCAGAGTGTTAGCAGAGTGTTAGCAGAGTGTTAGCAGAATGTTAGTAGAGTGTTAGCACTTAGCAGAGTGTTAGCAGAATCTTAGTAGAGTGTTAGCAGAATGTTAGCAGAGTGTTAGTAGAATGTTAGCAGAGTGTTAGCAGAGTGTTAGCAGAGTGTTAGCAGAGTGTTAGCAGAGTGTTAGCAGAGTGTTAGCAGAGTGTTAGCAGAGTGTTAGCAGAGTGTTAGCAGAGTGTTAGCAGAGTGTTAGCAGAATGTTAGTAGAGTGTTAGTAGAGTGTTAGCACTTAGCAGAGTGTTAGCAGAATCTTAGTAGAGTGTTAGCAGAATGTTAGCAGAGTGTTAGCAGAGTGTTAGCAGAGTGTTAGCAGAGTGTTAGCAGAGTGTTAGCAGAGTGTTAGCAGAATGTTAGCAGAGTGTTAGCAGAGTGTTAGCAGAATCTTAGCAGAGTGTTAGTAGAGTGTTAGCAGAGTAAATGTTAGTAGAGTGTTAGCAGAGTGTTAGCAGAATCTTAGTAGAGTGTTAGTAGAGTGTTAGCACTTAGCAGAGTGTTAGCAGAATCTTAGTAGAGTGTTAGCAGAATGTTAGCAGAGTGTTAGCAGAGTGTTAACAGAGTGTTAGCAGAGTGTTAGCAGAGTGTTAGCAGAGTGTTAGCAGAGTGTTAGCAGAGTGTTAGCAGAATCTTAGTAGAGTGTTAGTAGAGTGTTAGCACTTAGCAGAGTGTTAGCAGAATCTTAGTAGAGTGTTAGTAGAGTGTTAGCACTTAGCAGAGTGTTAGCAGAATCTTAGTAGAGTGTTAGCAGAATGTTAGCAGAGTGTTAGCAGAGTGTTAGCAGAGTGTTAGCAGAGTGTTAGCAGAGTGTTAGCAGAATCTTAGTAGAGTGTTAGTAGAGTGTTAGCACTTAGCAGAGTGTTAGCAGAATCTTAGTAGAGTGTTAGCAGAATGTTAGCAGAGTGTTAGCAGAGTGTTAGCAGAGTGTTAGCAGAGTGTTAGCAGAGTGTTAGCAGAGTGTTAGCAGAATGTTAGTAGAGTGTTAGTAGAGTGTTAGCACTTAGCAGAGTGTTAGCAGAATCTTAGCCTGATATGATATACTCCCAGATTTAGATTAGTCTGCGAAGGTTTCATTGCAGAATGTTCAAGAATTAAATACATGAAATGTATAAAGTCAATGTATGCATGATGATTATCCATTCATTACAATGTACTTCGAGAAAATTCGGTTATATACCATCTTGACATGTATACAATATGTACATGTACGAAGTATAGAAGTTTGAACACAGGAAAGATTAGGAAAATCTGGAGGAGTTGACGGAATCAACGAGATTACTAATTAAGATAATAAACGGAGTCAGCATAGCTGTGCAAGTAACAATTAGACTACTAGCTATGAACAAGAATGAACAAGAATGAACAAGAATGAACACAACACTGTTAAATAGAACACTAAAAATCACTACAGAATTTATAAGAGCTACACACAAAGGACTAACCAACTATGTTGAGCTTAATAAAATGGTCACACGAAGCAAGGCAATATAATTAACACAGATCGACGAGTTTTGCTTTTGGAAGATAATATCGTCATCATTAACACACCTGTTCGCCGACCAGTAAACACCAATGTAAGTACCAGCGCGGAGACAGTTGCCGCGTTGCAAAAACTGGTTCACGTTTTAGAATAGCATGAAGTCATCACAATAGGTAATTTATTTAAATGCTTCGTTTTGTAATTTTATCCAGTACCTAACTAACCACATGGTACGTCTGTTATACCGGATGAAATATAATACTCGAGTTTCAATATGCTAATATGTAAAAACACAGCGATATGTAGGTACTGCCGAGGTGGAGTGAACCGACCCCAACTATCTCTACCTGGAGATGCCTGTCAGTATACAGATTCTTGCTTACTTGTTAGCACATTATATGTGTTAGTTAAATTATATGTGTTAAGTGACGTGAACCGACCCGACGAATCACTTATATTAATGGTCCATAATAAGGATAGGATGTGACCTGAACTTGGAAATAAGTCAGGATATTTTGTCGCAGTAGAGTACGCTACCTGGATCGTAGTGCGACACGTACCTTAGTGCGACAGAGGGTGTTTTTGTCGGACTTCGCACTAGAGTACGTGTCGCACTAGAGTAGGTGTCGCACTACAGTACGATTACCGTTGGGGTCAGTGGTGTAACGCGTTGTTTAAAAAATTGTCCCACATTCAAACGCCCCCCCCCCCCCCAATCCCCATGATGTATTGTAAAGTTACCTCCAAGTTAGTAATCAAGGATGAAGGAGCTGGTTATAACATTCCCGACTATACAACTTCCACCCCGGTTAGGTGTTTAAGAAGTGGATTAATTAAGTTTAAACTGCTACTGTGAGCGTAAAATAGGGTGTGGCCTATTAACTTAATAAACTTAACAACCTGAAGTCTGAATAATTTGATTTGGAGCCATGGTTTACCCCACTCAAAATAATGATGCAGTTTTAAGACAAATTAAAATATATCATAAGGTAGTATAACATATTGTACTTGTAGGTTTATAATCTACTATTACCAAAACGCGCCGAGTTGAAATCGTCGACGTTCTTGAATATTTGAAATACATATTTTACGAGTATCTCCCGTTATTAAATAACATACTAGTAAACATATATAATGATAATATGCGTATATCCTGATTTAAAGACGTTTGATGCTCCAAAACATTATATGCATAAAGACTTTATTATATGAAAACAATGAAGTTAAAAAAAAACTTAAACTGTCCAGTTGCTGCAAATTTCAGTCACTAAATTTAAATTATAACTCTAGAAGGATGGGGTGGTAATACTCGGTCTGGCCGTCTGGAAGCCCATAGAATTCCAGTTCAGAAACCGAGTAAGGAGGTGCGGCTACTGATGAGAAGCCTCCTTAAAGTTTATTTGGGTTAGAAACGACATCTGGGTCCCTACCCTCGCACAAGATTATTCTCAATTTTCTTGTTGTGTTCCACAACTAATCCTTTTCGTTTGAACTTCTTGTACATCAGCTCCTTTTTAGTTGACTGGCTTACTGATGACCTGAAAATATTTATTCGACCATTAGATATAAACATTTTAAATATAACCGTAACTTAAATTGATCATTACAAAAACCAAATATGACCGATGCGATACTTCAACTCTAAATATTTTAACGGAGAAAAAAAATAACGGAAGCTTTTTTGTCAATCCATTCAACTGATCACACGTGGATGATGCAAATGATTGATTACTCTACACTCCACTGTCACGTGACTTTTTAAAACTTGTTCTTTATTATTATATTGCTGGCCCGAACGACTATTCGAAATCCTGACCCTCTAATCTGATCCCAACCCTAACCCTAACGAGAAATTAGACCAACTTCCTTAATCCTTATACGATCATATCACGTGATCTGTACAGTTTTTCGCCAATATCTCGCCAGGGGAGCATTTTAACCATATGTCATGGGGGGTGATTCCGAAAATACATCTATTCAATTTGCTTTCAACTTTTTTTAAATCTCGAAGGTCGACTGTAGAGTGATTTAGCACGGTCGATCACACGTAATTAATAAACTCGTTATTGCTTTATTGGTAATTATGCTTCATAACTTGCCCCACGAAAAACCTCACCGAACCTCCACGCGGTGTCGGGTGTGGGTTGGGTGGCTCAAACGGGAGGTGCATGGGTGTTTCTAACCTAGATGCAAAGGATGGGACTAGCCATATCTACAACAAAGGAAAGGCTCTAATAGCCTCTACTAACCTTAGAACCGCAGCATAATTGCTTTTCTCACATGCAAATAACACCTTCCGCAGGAAACTAACACGCTTACAGGCTCCAACATCTCGTGTAACCCCAGGATTTGGTTTTGGATCGGACACTCAAAACAACGATAGAGGAGCAGTCTATACGCTCACAGGCTACCATGTCTCGTGAACGGTGAAACCCCAGGATTTGACCTGCTCACAGGCTTCCATGTTTCGTGCAACTTCAGGATTTGGTTTTGGATTGGCCACTCAAAAAAAAAACGATGGAAGAGCGGTCTACAGTGATGTTACAGGAACATTGCATACTCCTACGAGTTGCACGTAGCAGGCCATGACCTCCCCTTGAAGTCCCAGTCTCTCCGTTGTTAACCCGGCGGGGTTGCACCAGGGGCGGTGGTAACAGAACTTCAAGACTCTCGGAGTCTGTTGTCGATATCTATGTTTAATATATTTATGGTATATAATTTGGGAGTCTCTCTCTCCAGCAGCAGGAGTTGGGGAAATGGGGACGCGTTGTGAAAGCCACCGTAAGGAAAGCTTACTGTCGACGCCGACCAATCAAAAGAAAAAGAAGAAGCTTCATAACTCGGTCATCTGAGTACAATTTGGCTCGATCCAATTATTCAATCTATCAAATAATTGCAAAAATGAATCTTCATTCGAAAAAAATAAACATGAATTTTCTTTGATTAAATATATTCCTCGAATGAGTGATAATAGGAAGTCATAACAATAAAATCTCAATCAGGCACTCACTGACTGAGTTATAAAGGCCAATGTATGTTGACTGACCTTTGGTGTTCATTTTAATGTCCGTTCAAAATTATGTCCGGTCAAATATTAATAACTTCCAATGAGGTAGCTAGGACTAGCTACACAAACTGTAGCCGTGAGTGAAACCTTTTTCAAAAAAGTGCACACGCCACAGTTCTCTACTATAATATAAGTATTAAATTGGACATTAAACAATTTTAGAACTTCTCACCACAGTTAATTACCGCATGTAGGTATATCACAGAGCTCCCATCGAGGCACAGTTCCCTCACCATTATAACACCAGGGGCTTGGTTCACTGAGGAAAATAATGACATCTGTTAAAATGGAAAATTTTAGAAAAGAAATTTCACAGATCATTCATATTTCCAAATCCATCTTCATTGCAATTTTTTGTAGATTTATTTTATAAATGTTTGTGCCCATACCTTGTGCTCGACTTGATGACAATAATTATGGAACACTATCAGATATTGAAAACTTACCCGTCTGGATTTCTGCAAAAGTTCTTTTGCAGTCCTGAATTAGGATATCTGAAAATGTTTTTATGATAAGCTCTTTTCCTAAAATATTATAATTATACTTATGTGGGTAAACAGGGTGATTATTAACAATATACCATTTGCAAAGTTACCATGATGGTCTCAAACATAAAAAAGAATAAATCCGAATAAGAACCAACAAGAAAACGTTTGGATAACTATAGAAGTATAGAACGGCTTAAAAGCAACAAGAAAATGTACTTCGATCCAACACTCTGTTTGTTAGGTGATTGAGAGTCCCATTCCTGGCATTCGCGTCCTGATACTGTGAAGGATCTCGTTCCCCTGTACTCTGATCCATCATTGTCTGCTCTGTCAACACAATCTGGGAGTGGAGCGGGAGCTAATCCATTGGTTATTCTTTTTAGAAACATTGTTATAGCAAAAATAAGAACAGTTTCTCGCTTAAAATAGTGAGGTATATTGGGGTTTGCAGTAAATTGGGGCGCATTAAATCGGTATCTAGTGTGAATCAGGCGCCTGGCGCGGTAAATGCGACCAAGTGATCAGTGGACAGTGTTAATAACGCAGTATAACTGTTTGAGAATGTATATGATTTTTCAGTGGCTGAATCCGCTTTATCAACACAATCGTCTCCCATTGGAGTTTCTTCAGATAACCTAGTGACGCTTTGAGGCACTTATGCTCTGAAGGCACCACTTAGAGACCCTTGAGGCACACCTTTGAGGCCCTTGAAGCACAAGTTTTGAGGCAGTGAGGCACCTGAGGCAACAATTTGCAACACTGCATGCATCGTACAGGGTTAGAAACATAACATGATGATTAATGGCTTGATTTCGTGACTAACTGGACCACTCAGTTTTATAACGGTTTTTATAAATAACTGTGGCAGTTCATTGTCGTCATAAGACCAATATTTGGTCCATGACTGTTGTTTTGCTCAACCTGCATCACTCGATAAACTTATTCAACTATTAAAATCGAAAGTTACACTCTTATTCACTCGACAATCACGTGACTTACTTAAACACGTTCTCTAGGTGTTTCTTAGGGACTATTCAAAACCTTATCAGCTTATCCCTCTAATCTGACTCCAGCCCTAACCCTAGCCATTAAACAAGATACTTCATCTTGCTGTATATCTGCTTTAAACGAAATTAGAGTTATAGGAGTATATCTGAGGACAAGACATTGCTGAGATGATAACTACCAACAACGGTCACCTATAAGTATGAAGCTGTTTTAGTTTACTGTTCTTAGATTTTAAAAATTGTAAATAAAGAAAGTTGAAATAAAATGAAAAGTAAGTTGAGTTTAGTTTAGAATAAATCTTCGTCCGTATTAAACGAGCGTGCCTTCCATTTTAATTTTAAAGTAGTGAGACATAAAAAGACTCGAATCGTTTTTATAAACTGACCTTGGTCTGATCAATAATTTTGTTAACTCACTAATTTCAGTAATTGAGGTGTCATCCTCCGTAGATTTCCACCAAGGCTCTTCTGAAAATATATTCGTGTCGGTACGACGTAGTTTATGTCGATATGATTCTTCAGCAGTTTCAACAGAGCATGCATTGGGATGGATCGATTAAAAATGTAATGTCCAAGAGGAGCTCTAACCCTTTAAGTGCAACAGCACTTTGGTCCGGTTTTGTGCAGTAGGAACGGTGATGTCATATATTTATTATAAACAATTTTAGCTTAGTTATATTCATGTTAAATTTGCTCTACCAAAATTTTGGTCTGCTTTAAAATTAGTCGCCGAAAAATTTAGTCTCATGAAAGTTATGGGTTATAGTTTTTAGGAGTATTGAGTAATTGTTAATTGTTAATTATAAGAGTTTGATAAAGGAGCACTGTGCTGTATAATGTTTGCCATTTTAATTGTAATCGTGATTAACTGAAGATTGCTGTTCACACATTCATGAAACTTTTAGTTTGACGATAACATCGTTTACTTTGTTACGCTTATCTATCTATATATATAGACGCTTTTGCAGTCAATTGCCGTCATCACCAGTTGATGACGTCATCAAGTTAACCGTTTTTAAAACTTTATTTTTGACAAAATAACAACTTTTACATTTTCAAATTAATTTTACACCATCAAGGAGTAATTTTATTCAAAATCTGAGGAAATTTTTAGGTTAGATAATTGTTCAAACATTCTGAAAATCTACCGGAAAGGTTTCCTACCTTGTTCCTTCATAAAGATATTGCTATCGAATCTAGTGCTTTTTTGAAGAATAATTTTATAAACACACAAAAGTTGTGATTTAGTATTCTCTGGTGTTTGGCCATTCCTTGGGTTTTGGAGCTCAATTTTTCTTCCTGAAGGTCTAAATTGTGTAACAGACTAGTTTTAATGAAAATCGAAAAGTCGCACACGTGAGGACACGCCCGAAGCTTTTTAAACTATTAGTATTACAATTGTAAATGAATCGGAAAAGTGAGCGACCGATTTCATTCTCGGTATAATCAATCTGCATTTGCGGACGGTTATTCAGATTAATATCATTTCCTTTTGTTTCATAGAGAGAGACTCTGTTACGATCCACTCTACCCATGATTATGGGTTTTGGTCAAATAAATAGTGAAAAATATGTATATCTTACCTGGTATGATACGGTAGTTACACAAGCTGTAGTCGCATGTTTCAATTGCACAGTCATAATCCGTCAAATCGTTCAAAACATTGGCAAATTCAGATTTTGATTCCCTACATGTACCCAAGTCTGATCTCACATCTGCCCGATTCATACATTTATAGTTTTTCATGTAGCCGAACCTGGCACCCTCAAAGAAGGTCACGACAAGAGATGAGCACACTTCACCCTCTGGACACTAAAAAAAGACAATTTATTATTTATCACCAATTTATCACACAATCTATCAATAAATATACATTCGAATAAATAATACCCAACTAAATTTTGGCCCTAGATGCTTAGATGGTAAGATACTAGGGGTCGTTCTCATATTACGCAATCACTTTTTTGACCATTTCCCCCCTCCTCCCCCCCCCCCCCCTCCGTAATCAGATTTACACATAGCTAGTACTGTATCAAGATTACGTAATTATTTGGAAACCACCTCCCCCTCGGCTGATAACGTAATAATATATGTGAACAACCACATATTATAAATAGACTTGAGTGGAATAAATGCATACGCTAGCAGCTAGCTGGTTATACCTGATGAACGCTGTCTGAGTCACAGGTATTTGTAGCCCCTGATTCCAAATTTACGTCTCTGCACTGGTAACAATCAAGCGATTGAGCTCCTGCCACCATTGCCACTATTATAGCTATTGCTATATTCATTTTATCTTCTTTGCTTTATATTAGGCTACTGTAGATATATTGTTAATAAATGTCAGTTTTGATATTTAAAAAACAGGAAAAATCAGGCGTCAAAAATGTTCATCCCGACCTAAAAATAAGATACAGCCGATGAAATGTTGTAGGTTTATAACCTACCAGGACCCGTTAAATGAAATGTAACTCAACGTAATGAAAACACAAAATACAAGATATAAGGGCAGGCCTCTCCCGAACGTTGGGATGGCCTGAGGTGCTTATCTCCTTTTCAGTAACCCTAAGCCACTCTGTGCCAAGGCACTATACTAGCTGTAGGGGGGTTAGTCCTACGAGCCAGAGAGTGTGTATCACCAGCCGAAGCTGTACCAAATCACAGCTTGGTAACTGGCCGACTTGCATCCGACCAGATCACAGTGGGGCAATCTAATAGGGCATTATGACTTTTGGGTTTTTTGCCTTTTTATGCCTCTGGCCACATCTTGGTGGTGTCAGTTTGGAGTAAATCGTCAATTATGACTTATTTCAGTGAAATAGGACAACCTTCACTACTTTTTTGGGCAAAAAATCAATTTTTTTGAAAATTTGGCACTTTCTGTCACACAAAAAGCATCTTTTTTGACTAGCAATTTTAAGATTTCATCGAATTTTAAGCGGTTTCTGTCCCATTTTTCTGCTTTTTCGTATGGAAATGGTCATCAATCATGCTGATGTGATTTTTTAATGGTATTTCAGAAAGGAGAACCAGAAAAACTATGCAATATGACCAAAACATAAGAAAAATTTTATGAAATCAGAGTTGCCCCTGGATTTTCCGAGCTCAAATTGCCAGATTTTGGCTATTTTTGGCTCATCTGCATTATTTTTCCATCCAAATATTGCTTATTCCTATTGAACGTTGCTGGTATTAGCATAAAAGATCGAAGTGTGCCCCAAAAAGTTATGAAATAAATGAAAAAAAATCAGTCTTTAGTCTATCAGTGAGCTTTTCAAGGCTGAGAAATAATAGAGGCTGGACCCAAAAAAATTCTTTTTTGTCCAAAAGTCTGAATTGTTCTGAAGCAAATCGATTATTTTGTGTTTATAGACATTCTGAGGTATCATTTAAAGTATAGTAGATATGGGGCATATAGAGGCATAACTTTTCCAGCAGCCTGACATCAGAGCAAATGACAATTTTACCTTCGAAATTTGGCAAATTTATCAACATTATCCCTAAAAATTCACAAAATCTCGATTTATTGCCAAAAGAATCTCAATTTTGCTTAAATTGACTACCAACGAGCTTGACATTACTAGGAAAACTCATGTGGGACTATCCCAATAGTGTTAATTCAAAAATACGATGTTAAGATATCTTGCCTGGACATGCACATTCAGAATATTTTTCACTGCCAAATCTATAAATATCCCAGCGCCTGACTTTACTGGGCTGTAACTTTGCTCAGGAATGAGAATCAAAAATCAAAAATTCTGAGCTCAGAAACAACCTGGCTATTAGATTAAACTAGTTTAAAGTGATATTGGAGACATGACTTTTTTGCTAAATGTCAGCATGGAGCCCCACTGTGCAGATTTGAACCCGGGTCTTCTGCTTGGGAATGAAAACAACCGATGATAATGAGGAGTAGGATTGTTAAATCTGTGCAGGGATTATTTACAAAATAACGCCGCAACTTATTTTCTATCACGTTCATTAGCAGTATCCCAGAGGGGTTTATAGCAGCCTAAAAAAGCTACAATCAGACAGTAAGCTCAGCTACAACAACAACACAAACATACCCTTTAGGCCTTTAATTCAAATTTATAAACTGCAGTACGCAATGAGTAGCCGAGGCGCTTTGCAGCTCTATCCATTATCTTAAATGATTAAAGGAATATAAGATATAACTTGTAAAAATATGACAAAATATGACAAAACCAGCCTTATCTTTCCACTACCCACTAACCCACAGCAGGTTCGTTCTTATAAGGCAGGTTTTCCGTTAAATAAAAAGTCGAATGCTGCAGATTTAGTACAGATCTCATGCGTTCATGACACCCGCTGCAACCCCTTTTGATCGCGTGCACGAGAGGTAAGGAGGTATACAACGTGTAGCAAATCCTACGTGAGGTTAGATAATTCGAATCAATTTGTTGCGTGATTTAACTTAAATTGGCAGGTTTTTTAGTAAAGTTTAAGGTGGACAAAAATGTTGATTCTTGCAGGATTTGTCAAAATATAGCAGGTTTTTGGTTAATTTGAGTGCAATGTGTAATACTATAATGATCGTATAACTGTTATTAGTAGAAGCTCAATTAGTCTTACGGGCATTTATATCTGCTCGATACGCTAGGGACTCAAGATACACCTTTTTAAACGTTAATTTCATTGGCATATCAGCAAAATTTGCATGAAGATAGCTGAAACACAGCCGTACATGATGGCATTAAAATTAAGCTCTTAAAGCTAGGAAAACCTATAGGACCACTCAAGAGTGTGAGGCCACTCTGTCTGTTGAATGGCACGACAAAACTACTTTCCCTGATAACAGTAACAGTGTTACTGTTTTCAGGGAGAACTCAGAGGCGGGTTGCTCAATATACAGGCCCATGGCGAAATGTCTGTAAAGCTGGACACAGCAGCTAACAATAAACTAACATCGTATGGACGCGACGTATCCTGATTTCTTTTGTAGGTGAAATTCTTAACCCTCTTAATGCAGTAAATAATTATGAATCTACGAGAATTTGCTTTGCGTCAGAGCGATGGTACGTGTTTTTTGATCTAGGAAAAGATTTGGAACATCATTCAAGAATTCAGGAGACATATTTAACCTTGCTCGGATATTAGATTATGGAAATTTGTGGAATCCATTTATCAAGGTATTGATCGATGACCAGGAAACTTATGCTTTATAGTACGTTGTTTTTTATTAAGTAGAAAGCAGTTGGAATGGTTGTTACCTGGACAATTAGATTTGCAATCTGTAGGAGAGAGTTTTGCAACTATTATTAGATTATTCAACCCCCAGAGGTCAGATATTGAAATCTTTCCTTAAATCATCTAACAAGTTTTTCGTCTATTCTATTAAGCCATGAATCAGAATAGACGGATTAGTGATTACCGGTCTCATATTATTGATCCTGACCTGATACAGCTTCTCTGGCTGGATGTAAAGAAAAGGATTGTTCTCATAATACTGCTGCTCTCTCACAAGAACAACTACAACTATGGTCTCAGAGAAAACGAAACGGATGAACTCAGCCCTACCCTGCGACCCTATCTGCAAACCTATCTCACCTCTCGACAAGTGGACTCAAGCTGGTAAAACCCTCATCGTCTCCAGAGCCAACCCAAGCTTCTGCGTTTTTTGCAACAAGAGGCATGCTGGTATATCATGCGCTGCTCATGACCCTGTAGCATCTTCTGATGCCGGAGGTCTTGCTAACTCCTCTGCTCATGCTCCTCGTGTCCGCTCCAAATGTAACAACTGCGTTGTTATGAATGTCCACCGAGAATCTTCAGTCCTCGATGGGATCCTACATTCTACTACTGTTATTATACAGTAATATGATCTGGTAGACAGTGGTCCGCAGACAGTGGTCCGCAGACAGTGGTCCGCGGACAGTGGTCCGCGGACCAGTGGTCGGGCTATCTCGATACTGCCAATCATTGTTAGGATGGGCACCTACTTATAAATAGCTTCGTGATAGTAAGGAGAATATTTCAACTAATGTTAAGATTCACTGAGAGCTATTGAAGGGGCATGTTTTACATTTTATTATTGTCCTGCTGATTTGTTGGCCAGCCTCATAGAGCTAGCTCTGTGAGGCTGGTCACCATACCCACGTCTAACAATTTATTGCATATTTTTTACACGCTAACCTAACCAGGTGATGGTCAAATTGATTATCATGACATTAATGTTATTTCTAATGAATCTGGTTACTACATTTAAACCCAATTTAACGTGGAATTTGGACGTGTCACAGTTCAAATTTGAGTGAGCCGCCCTGTCAGGCTATCAATAGCTGTCTAGGAGATAGTCGGCTCGTAAATGTAAAAACCGCCGGATATGACCAGTGCCGGGGTTTCTCATAATTATCATAGTTCCCTACCTCTGTAGATATTCCCACGATAGAAATCCTATTTTGATTCACAGCCGTGATGAATGGATTTCCAGTAGATTTCATTCGAAGTCGAATCACTTCGGGTTTATCTTGATAGCTTTGAGCTATTTTGATTCACAGCCGTGATGAATGGATTTCCAGTAGATTTCATTCGAAGTCGAATCACTTCGGGTTTATCTTGATAGCTTTGAGCTATTGTAAACCAATTGCTCCTATTCTCACTAACTATCGGACGATTTACGTACTAAAGTTCGTCAACAAACCAGCAGGACAAAAAGAAAATGTAAAACATGCCCCGTCAATAGGTCTCAGCGAATCTTAACATTAGTTGAAATATTCTCCTTAGCATCACGAGGCTATTGTTAACAAAGAAGATAAACATTGTGTGTAACAGTTAATAACTTGATGAACGTGTGTATAAACTCTTCACACCACTTTATATTTGCCGTACGGATGCCAATCATGGATCGCTCCTATTCTCACTAACTATCGGACGATTTACGTACTAAAGTTCGTCAACAAACCAGCAGGACAATAAGAAAATGTAAAACATGCCCCGTCAATAGGTCTCAGCGAATCTTAACATTAGTTGAAATATTCTCCTTAGCATCACGAGGCTATTGTTAACAAAGAAGATAAACATTGTGTGTAACAGTTAATAACTTGATGAACGTGTGTATAAACTCTTCGCACCACTTTATATTTGCCGTACGGATGCCAATCATGGATCGATTCCCCTGGTTTAAAGTTCTGACTGAAGATTGATTAAAAAAGGAATTTTTTTACTAAAACGATAAATGAGGAAGAAATTTAAACAGGCAACTAAGAATTTGCTTCATGGGTCATGTGCTGACATGCACCCTGTTAGCGTTCACGTGCACCCTCTCAGTTTCTCATTTGACCTCATGCAGATGCAGAAGAGT